CAAACCGGTCATGCTGGAGGATGTTGCAGGCAGCAGAACTTCTCCACGGCGTCTCCAGACTCTGTCACGTCTGTCACATGTGCTCAGTGTGAACCTGCTTTCATCTGTGAAGAGCACAGGGCGCCAGTGGCGAATTTGCCAATCTTGGTGTTCTCTGGCAAATGCCAAATGTCCTGCACGGTGTTGGGCTGTAAGCACAACCCCCACCTGTGGACATCGGGCCCTCATACCACCCTCATGGAGTCTGTTTCTGACCGTTTGAGCAGACACATGCACATTTGTGGCTTGCTGGAGGTCATTTTGCAGGGTTCTGGCAGTGCTCCTCCTGTTCCTCCTTGAACAAAGATGGAGGTAGCGGTCCTGCTGCTGGGTTTGTTGCCCTCCTACGGCCTCCTCCATGTCTCCTAATGTACTGGCCTGTCTCCTGGTAGCGCCTACATGCTCTGGACACTACGCTGACAGACACAGCAAACCTTCTTGCCACAGCTCGCATTGATGTGCCATCCTGGATGAGCTGCACTATCTGAGCCACTTGTGTGGGTTGTAGACTCCGTATCATGCTACCACTAGAGTGAAAGCACCGCCAGCATTCAAAAGTGACCAAAACATCAGCCAGGAAGTATAGGAACTGAGAAGTGGTCTGTGGTCACCACCTGCAGAATCACTCCTTTATTGGGGGTGTCTTGCTAATTGCCTATAATTTCCACCTGTTGTCTATCCCATTTGCACAACAGCATGTGAAATTGATTGTCACTCAGTGTTGCTTCCTAAGTGGACAGTTTGATTTCACAGAAGTGTGATTGACTTGGAGTTACATTGTGTTGTTTAAGTGTTCCCTTTACTTTTTTGAACAGTGTATATACAAAAATGTGATTCTTTGTTAAACTAATTTGCAAATGCCCACCCAGAATCCTTTGCGGTAGTAACATTACTGCAAATTTGTGATTTCTGTGGGAAAAGCACGTCTTATGGCTTGACTAGTGTGCAGATTTTTGTTTAACATTGTATTAAATATATATATATTTATACATACACACACACACACACAGAATACAGACACAAAAATTGACACATACAGATACACAGATAGACTCACAGATACAGACACATTGACACATACAGATACACAGGTGCAGACTCACAGATACAAAGACACACTAACACACACCAACACAGATACAGACACACACATGGACATAGACAAACATACAGATACACAGACACACACTAACACATAAAGATACACACACTAACAAACATACAGATACACAGACATGCACAAACATACATACAGAAACACAGACACACACTAACACATACTGTACAGATAACGTGCACACACAGATCACATTACATATTTTAACCACCCCCCTGCTTCAATACCTTTTTGGTGCAGGAGGGTGGCTTCCCTGGTATCAAGTGGCGTCTGTCTCAGTGTGATGGGAGTCTGGCTCTCTCTCCTCAGGTCCTGCCTGTTAATATCTCTCCTCCCTTGGCTTGTTGGTAAGCAGGGAAGAGGAACCCCCCTGCATCGCGGCATTACATAGTGCAGGGGCCTGGTCACTCTGATAAGGGGCCGCGGCACCTGACCGGGCCCCTGATCATTGAAACATTTAGTCTTCAGTAGCAGCCCTTGCAGGCAGCGCACGTCGATGCACGTGCGTGACGTCGATGTTGCGCGCCTATGCGTACAGGGACGAAATACTCTCTCTGCTCCCCCGGATCCTACCTCTACTTCTGGTAAGCAGTACCGGGCCCTCGGACGGCGCGGTTATCGCGCGTTGGACTTAATTGGTTGGCCCAAATTTTGTTTGATGGGCCCTTAGCCGGGCCCTCGGACCATGTCCCAAGTGTCCAACTGCTCAGTCCGCCCCTGGTGCATCCTGAGTTGGGCATTTCTCCAGTATCCTGGAAGTTTTGTTTCCTGTTTATCCGTCCTTTGCTGGACATGGTTGCTGTTTGAATCCTGTCCTGGAAAATGGTTTATCAACTGTTCCTGTTCTCTGCTTTTTGGAATATATGTTCTTCTGTTTTGTTAGCATCACCAAAGAAAAAGGAAGTTTTGGAGGTGGTGTTTATGGTTATACTGGGAACTGGATATGGATTGGCTGGAGTAACTGTATGTTCTGTTTTTCTATGTTGTGTATTCTTTGCTGTTTTTGGTAGACAGTATAGAAAGTGTAAAGCAATACTCGCCTCCATGTCTTTCATAAAATCATTACTTTTCATCATGAAATATCATGTAATTTTCTATACTGCCAATGAACAACTTTCATACATAGTGTGCTGTTGGTGACTTTGTAGCTCATCTAGAGAATCCAGAAGTAGTTGATATTAGGAAAGCAACAAGATATAACTTGTAAATAGTGTAAATGTGAGTTGAACTGAAGTCAAGGATACCATAACGGGTGGTGGTGGCGGTGGTAGTTGTCTCGGTGGTGCTGGGGTGTAGTTGGTTCCCCCAAAGGTTTTTAATGCTACTTTTGGAACTGCAGGTTTTTGTTGCCTGCGTGCGTCCAGATAATTATCTGCCTTCCTTGCAGCTTCTGTGAGGGATGTAGGGTTCCGGTCCCTTACCCACTCCTGGACATCTGTTGTCACCCCATCATAAAATTGTTCCATTAGCAGCATTTGTATCACGTCCTCCATGGACCGTGCCTTGCTGGCTTGTACCCACCCGAGGGCTGCCCGTTGTAACCTGCACGCCCACTCTGCATGTGAGTCTTTCTCCGCTTTCTTTAAATCCCGGAATCTCCTCCGGTATGCCTCTGGTGTTATAGCATACCGGGCCAGTATAATCTCTTTCACTCTACTGTAATTCCTGATTTCTTCGTCTGGTACAGTCCGATACGCCTCTGCTGCCCTCCCAGTTAAATGTTCTGCCAAAATAGGTACCCAGTCCTCTGTACTGATTCTATGCAGTGCACACAGTCTTTCAAAATCTTGCAGGAAAGCATCTATGTCTTCCTCTGCCTCCACATATGTTTTAAAAGCCTGATACGATATTTTAGGCTTACCTTCCTGTGTCGTGTTTACTGCAGGGTTGCGTTCTGGGGTTCGGTAATAAGTACCGCTTTCTTTTTGTTGCTGGCTTGAATACCCCTTGCTTCTAGGAGGTCCTTTAGTGTGGAGCGTTTTAGTGTAGAAAAATCAATCTCCATCCGTACTCAATTGGTGCTTGTTCCTCTGTGAGTCTGGATTCCAGCGCTGCCAACCAATGTAGCGGAGAGCTAGTATTTCATAGCCTACCTCCACTTGTAGATCCCAGTGAGGCTCAGGAACAAGTAATTATAAATCCATAGGCAAGGTATCCAGCAGGTAAAACAATACAGCAGTATCCCAACAGCACTCCCAATAACTGGACGACACACAGTATCAGGAGCAGAACTAAAGGTTTATTCACACAGTGGCCTTATAAAGCATGCTCCCTTGCAAGGGAGGGATTTCCATTCATTAGTACAGTAGCCAGTCCTGTTCTGGTAACCTCCCACACATCTCCTCCCCTCAGTCTGCATCATAATCCCCTTATCCAGGACACCAATTGCCCCCCTTTTCAGGATTTACCACCAAAACATGATCTGGGAGAACAACATATCCAAAAATCACCTATATCAGACCAGTGGTTCAGGAAATTTATGGAGGGAATAAAAAGACCGACCATGCTGGAGAGAATAACCGAATTGGGTTCCATGCGATGGGGCCCTGCGGTCGGTCCTGGCAAAAGGGAACAAATTGTGCGAAAGCCTCTAGTTACAGAGACCAGGGAGGGTTCGCATGAATCCCCTTGTTCGGTTATTTCTGTCTACCGAACAAGGGGCCGTTCGGTAGTTTGGAACCGAACGGACCGGGCTTGTGGAGGTCTCAGCGGTGTTCACCTAGTCGAGTGTCCGATTTGGGTTCCAGACACTCGATGGCAAAACACAGCTGTTCGGGAGTTTTAAAATGGCCGCCGCCACGTGTTCGTTTCCCGAATGGCGGCCACCCCCGAGAACAAAGGGCACACTTCACACCGGGGAGGTCTGACTGTTCGGTAGTTTCATTCCCTTACTTGTTAGAATGATTCTACCGAACAATCAGACGAATACAATACATTTCTACACATATAATTTTGCCATTTACAGGAATGCAGTTAAAACCTATACAATTCCCAGGACAGCCCAGTGCCATCCACTACAGCACCATCAGATGTTTCATGGAACTGATAAGGGTCTTGGGATGGTACAGCATTATGCTCCATGTTATAGCATGAAGAAGGAAGCCATGAAGCAAAAGTCAGCAAAATTCTTGCAAATGTGGATATATTATCCTGGAATAATGTACAGAATCTGTGTTATTTGGTTTTACAGCTGCTCCAGTTCATTGAGATTTGTAAAAAGAAATTTAAGAGCTATGACAATAACTGCATAGTGTACAATATAGCTAGCACAATGTATACATATATACTTTCATACATAATCCATGTTTGTACATAGGAATTTATTCATTACACTCTGAATTTTAGCTAATGAAAATCAATATTACAAATTGTAGGAAAAACGAACTGATCTGGAAAAAAAAATCCTTAACTGATCTATAGTTACAAATCAAATATTTTAAATTAGAGGTTTATTGAATAACCCTGACACTGGCCCTCATATTTGGATATATATATACGCACACACAATACAGTAACATAAAAAATCTCATCATGACAGCTTTAACTGTGTAGCAGATGGTTTTAAGCATCCACCATCAGACCTTTTGTGCTACATTTTGCATGTTTAGTTTTTAATGTACTGCAGTGCAATGTTTAGAGAATAAACCGCAGTCATATAATCCTGACACTATGCAAATATATGTGCAAACCTGGTTTATGTATACGTTGCAGTAAAGTAAGGGTAACCTAGGTATCCAAAGCTGTAGGCCCACAACTCCTATTACCACTGACCAGCTAAATGCCACCTTCAAATGTTAAAAACATAGATTCCAAAAGGTCATGATAACCCTTTGTAACTGACACTATTAAGTCCATCTATTATTAGAGGTCATGTATTTTATTTTTTCATGTCAGCTTTGGATACAGACGGCTCTGCAGTGAGAACAGGGGGAAAAAAGAACTGGTTATTCCAGTCTTCACTCTGATCCCCATCAGCAACAGCTGCAAAATCATCAGCAAACAGGCGGATCACTGCCTCTGTCTGATCTCACGCTGCAAATAGCAACATCACCATCATCGTGATGAGTAGCTGGTAGTAGGAAGAGCCTCCTCCTCCTCCTCTTCCAGGGCACCTCTGGGCCTCACACAGGGACTGCTGTGCCCTTCACATCCCTCACTTCATCACATCTCTCTACACAGAGGAAAACTATACACCTTGACAAGGAGGAAGTGGAAATAGGAGGGAGGAGGGAAGAAGAAAGAAAAAGAGGCGGGGTGGGGGGAACCAGGGCCCTGGCTGGGGTGTGGAAAAAAAAAAAAGGAAGGATCCCGATTGACAAAAAAGATAGGATTGCCGGGGTCCAGGCTGGAGCTGGGAGGTGAGTGAGTGTTTTCCCCTGAGTATGCCTCGTTCAATACTACGTCACGGAGAACAATGCCTGGCTGCTGAGGCAGGCTAAATAGAGTATGTTTACTGGAGTGCCTTCATCATGGGAAGAGGGCCGGGGGGATTTACTGCGGGGAAGGGGGAATCCTGCATGCTGGCTAAATAGGAGTGTACCTGGGGTAAGTGTGTGAAGGTGAGCGCTCACCTGTCTGGAGAATTCAGGGATTCTATTGTTAGAACTCACTGTATCTGGAATGATTAGGAATCTGTCTCTGCTATGGGATTGTGTGGGCATGGCTTCTTCAAAGGATGCCTGTAAACCAAATGTGCCCCTTATTACAATACTGCTGTCTGGTCATTTTATGTAGATATGGATTGCTATATATATATATATATATATATATATATATATATATATATATTTAGTGTGTGTGTGTGTGTGTGTGATCGATCATCAATGTGCATGTCTAGTTTATACATGAACTCATGGATTTGATTTTTGTCTTTGATAGTGAAAGAAACACCATCAATTAAATGTGTAGTTATATATCTTCTGCGGTTTATAATTGTTCAAATATAGTATTTTTATTTTTCTACACAGGTTAGTTTGCTACACTGCATACATTTTAATGTCAAGTGAAATGGCATATAACTGTAAGTTTCTGTGTATGAAAACGTGCCTGTGTGTATGTATTAAATCTAACACCTGAATGGTGGTTGTTGTTATTATTATTATTATTTATATAGCATCAACATATTCCACAGCGCATTATGAAAAATGAAATTCCACCCGTTGGCTGTTAAAATATTATTAAAACATTAGCAATATTGTGATGCTAGGATAGAACAATTTATTACAGAGACCAAAAATGGTCAACTCCCTGTCCCATGTGAGTGTTAAACGTTTAAATATTAGTCATGTAAAAACTTGTTTACCACTTAATATATGGGATGGGATGTGGGAATGGTACTTGCTATGGTTTGTATAGAACTTATATTTTGCAACTCAAATGTTATCATGTATAATAGTACTGTACTTATTTTATGTATGCTTGGTCTTATACATGTTATCTGTATTATCCTTTTTATATAACAAATGGGTAAGGATGTATTTAAATACTTACCTGCTTCTAAAAGTTAAAAGCAGAGGCCTGTTATTCTCTAGTAATGGGGTGTGGTTCGGCTTTTTTTGGTTTAGAGCCTCTCCTTCCCATCACTTTATCTGTTCTATCTATATTGCATAACTTGTCCTATAGACAAGATTTTGAGTTGTGGGCTATATCCTCAAGAAAGCATTTGTAACTCTGAAAAAAATATAATTTACAGTTCTAAAGAATTTGGAAAGGGCTTCCTGTTAAACACTGATACCCTGGCAAGATCAATTCACCCTCTAATTTCATGACTTGTTTTATTAAGGAATTCATTTTAACCCATTCTTCAGGTTTCTAATAAACCTGGTTAAAAAAAAATAAAACATAGGAGGCACACTGCATAGGTGATGGTAATATCCCTAACATTTGATTGATGTGGCCTTTATCAGAATCTGCTACTAAAGAATGGCCTTCATTCTTATCTAAAGTATGTGACCTTCATGTGTTAGTGCTGCAGCTGAATATTATTAGTAGCAATGATATCTGTTCTCTAATGATCATTTCTTCTCAGCTTGTAGTTTTACATTGCACTCTAAATTGATGTGCATTAATGTATATATTTCATTTTGATATGGCAATTGTTTTTTTTTGTTTAAATGTGATTAGTTTTTTTTTTTTAATGCTTAATTTTATTTAGAACCTCACAATTTTGCTGCATTTTCTGAAGCGATTTATATAGGACAGGATAAATGAGCATCTGTGCGTCATGAAAGAGGAGGGGAAAAAAACGAACAGGCAAATGCCAATAAGCATTAAGTTGCATTGTTTACTTTCTAGGCTTGAAGTAGATAGTGCTGCATTTTCTTTGTGTGTTTTTTTTTTTTTTGTCAAAAGAAGTTCAAGAATAAAGATAAGGTGTCATTCTCAAGAACAGAGCATGGATGGTTGGAAATACCTGTAACTGGAACAGATAAAATCAGGCCTACATAATGTCATATTTTGGTGTATGACATACTGTAAAATAAATCTTCACCCCCCCCCCCATTTTTATTTTTTAAATGCAGTATTTTGTTTCTGTAGGTTCCCAGTTATTTTAGCAGAGTTTTAAAGGAACACTCCATGCACCATAGCTGCTACAGGCCGGTGGAATAGTTATGGTGCCAGGAGTGCCCTGTTGCCCTTACAGTGCAATTTATGAAACCTTTTGACTTGTTACCTGGATGACACTGGTTGCCCTTGCCTGCAGCTACTGCTTTCTGAGCTCAGCAGGACCATGCATGGCCGCACTCGCTGGCTGAGAGCATCAGCTCAGTGCTCTCAGCCAATGAGCATGGCCCTGGATCAGCCAGGCTTAGTTCAATAAAGATATCTGGTTTCTACTGCAGGGGAAAACTGACACATTATAGTCACCATAGGGTTCCATGTACAGTTCTAAAATAGTTTTGACAAATTGCAATACAAGGGTTCTTGGGGACTCCTCATGCCATAGCCACTACAGAAGGATCTATAGATTAATGGGCTTGGAGTCTTCCTTTAAAACACTGGAGTGCCACTTTTTGTGTGATGCACTTTAACTCGCTGCTGGTTAATATTGTAGTTGTAAAAAAACAACTGAGGAACACAAATTGAGCTGTTGTAGATCAGCTCTATCTTAAAGTGTGCCTTTTATGCAAATTTTAATTATGGCCAAATCCCCCCAAATACATTGAACACATCGTATGTCAGATACATGGTGCATGCATTCAGTGTAAAATATTGAGAATAGCTCACCTTACCGTGTTCTAGCTCCGCCATGTTCTCTTCGTGTACCACCAATCCGCCCCTGCATTCTGCCTTCTTTGATTTGCCATTTCCCCAAGCAGGGGAAGCTTCCTCCATGATACTGACTCGCTGGCTTCATCTCAACAGAGGAAGGTCAGTGCCAAAGATTTGACTGAGAAATGAGTGTAGAACCCATTTTTAAACAGGTTTTTCTTCCAAATTATATATTTGTTAGCATGATGTAGATAGACTTTTTTTTTTTAATGCTTTTTCAAGAGAGCGTAGGTTAAAATAGCGATGACGGGTATCCTTTAATGTAGGACATCCAACATTTCATGTACACTAGGGAGCAATGCAGTGCTGGGAAATGCTAGAGTTTAATAACCCATAAAAACATATTGGATTTTTTTTTTTTGTACATTACATATGATGGGAATGGCTGGAACACAAAAAGAACTGAAATGGAGCATGGATCATTATTTTTAAAGACATCTCGCAGCAGGTTATTAACTAAAATGTGAATTGTCAGAAAATCTAAGCAAATTTCTGGTTTCAGGTCAAAGTAGCCAAACTGGAAAAATTCCATACAATTCTCACTTTAATAAGTAACACAGCAAGAATAGTTGGACATTTTAAATTACAGCACATAGCCGTTTATCCAAGTCAGGTAAGCTTTAAGTACAACTACTTTGGCTTTAAGTTTGACATTCACTTTAGTAAATAAACCTTGCTTAAAGGGAACCTGCCATGAAAAAAATCAACTTAACGGAAACCATAGTGTCAGGATACAAAAATGTATTCCTGACACTATAGCTCTGATAGCACCTTTTTGGTTGCTGGTCCCTCCCTCCCAGTGGTAAAAAAGTGTTTTAATCGACTTTAGCCTGCACTGCCTGGGTCTTGATGCTGCTGGCCCTGACCCTGCTCTGCATTCTCCAAAACATTGATGTGTTGAATCAGTGCATATCTATGGGGTAGTTCAGCCTCCTGCCCAGGAAGCACGTCCAGTTGCCATCTGAATGATGTTACTTGACAGTGATGTAAACATTTCTCTGAAAAGTTAGTCTTTACATTGAACAATTTGCAGGGACAGGCAGTAGACACCAGAACTACATGAAGTTGTAGTTGTTCTGGTGACTATAGTGTCCCTTTATAAATACTTTTAAAAGAACTTGAAATTTCATGTATAGATTTGGAAACAAATCGGTTTAAAAAAGGAGTTATCTCCAATCAGACTCTGAATTCCTCAGAAGACACTTGAGGAATTGAGCCAGGGAGAGCAGAAGGGACCTCCCAAGTGAGGTCCCCCTCCTCTCCACATCTAGCAAACAGAGCACATGCGCTGAAGTTTCTATGGGGACTCCTTACCAGTGCCTCTAGTGCCTCGGGAGTATAGGTATGAAGTGACGTAATGTCACTCTATTTAGAGACGGCATGCTGGCAACAAAGCCAACTCATTGAGGAGATTTGAGGCAATGATCCTAAGCAGGGCAAATCAATGAAGTCCAGAGGAGGAGCGTGGGCAGACCAAAATGTAACACCCAGGAGATTGCAGCGGAGGGCCAGGTAGCAGCCAACATTTTGGAAATTCTTGTATCTGCAACAGACAGTGGATTAAGATTGGGTTAACCATTTTGATAGTCTTAATGCAGGTCAATGAGAATGCTCTGCAAATTATAATTTTTTATTTTATTTTTTTTTATGTTTTCTTCCTGTTTATTAGAGTACAGATGATTTTTACATGCACTTTTGCTGGTTGATAAGCAACATGCTATGATAAACAAATGACTCATGGGTTGCTAGCTGAAATCCCATTGGTGTCAACTAGAAAGTTTCTGGTACTGGATTTAGACTGTCATGACATCACAACTGGAAACTTTTTAGTGGGCACGGTCTTATATTTACACAACTCAACACAATCATTTCCCAAATTAAAAATGTATGGTTTAGCACGTTGTTGTTGATATTTTTAAACATGACTTGGTAAGTTCAAGATTTTTACATATTTGTGTATTTATGTCTGCATTTTTTTTGTGAAGGAGAAAAGTTTTCCATTGACTTATGCATATTTTAAAGGAACTCTCAAAGCAACATAACCACTACAGTGCACCTTCAATGTAAGTAGCCAAGTCATTTTTAGGTCCTCTCGTTCATTTGCCTCCATTACAGCCTTCAGCGAGCCAGAAACTCCGGCGGGCAATCATTTCGTTTCTGCAACTCTGCAGAAGTCAAATGCTTGGCACCTTGCGCCTACCCAGATAAGAGGGCAAACCAATGGAGTTTGAGTTTTTTTTTTTGTTTTTTTTTTTAAAGATATTTTGTTTAACCACTTCCTTTAGTTAAATATTTAATTCACTAGATAATTCACCTTGTAGTAATGTCTTCATTATCTATGCATTAGTAGTTTTATCTAACAAAGTCAGCTCTGATATAGCTGTTAAACTAATCTGAAAACCTAGTATTCTAAATATAAAATTAACAACCAACATTTTTTTTTTTTTTTTAATTTATTTATTTTTATCATGATTTAAATAAAGTCTTATTGACTTGTGATTTCAGTTAACTTGATTTGAATCCAATCCATTCTGGTATGGAGTCAGTGCAAATTGTGATCTGCTTTTGTTCCTTCCCATATGCAAGACAAACATTCCCCATTGTCCTACAACAGTACTTTTATTACAGGAATAAACAGCCTGAAGGTTTACAAAAATGAATTGTTTTTCAATGCTCTCTTTTTAGTGGCCTCCCAGCCCTGCAATATGTAAATCATAAAGACACATGCAATAAAGCATATACTATTTTCATTTCCTCCCATTGGCAGCATCTTATTAAAGGCACCCAGAGCGCTTAATTTCAATAAAGTGGTCTGGTTGCAGTGCACCTGCTGTTTTAATGCTGCAATGTAAAAGCATTGTCTTTGTAAAAACGGTGATGTTTTCATTGCAGGGTTAAACATACCTCTAATGGCTGTCATTCTTCCTAATAAACCACTAGTCGCTTTCCATGTAAGACCAGTCTTGGAACAATTGCTGCTCATACAGAGCATTTGATTGGCACAATGCAATGAGCTAGGTAGATCCACACATTGACTATGCGAGTCGGCTGAGAGCACTGTGCATGAGGGCATCCAGCGTCACTCGAAACCCCGTAGGAAGGCCTTGTCTAATGCGAGCCCGGCCATAGCTGCACATGCGCATTAGTTCTCCTCTACCAGCTGATGTCCATGGGGGAGGAGCAAAGCCGGACCCCAAGCAAGTGCCAAGAGACATCGGTACTGGACTCGGGTAAATGACAGGGGGGTTTTCCTGGCACTATAGTGTTTCTTAAATAATGTTCTGTTTATTTGTGTGTGTGTGTGTGTGTGTGTGTGTGTGTGTGTGTGTGTGTGTGTGTGTGTGTGTGTGTGTGTGTATATATATCTATATCTATCTATATCTCTCCAGCGAACCAACGTTTCAGTCCCAGTTCTGGACTTTCCTCAGGGTCAAATAACAGGACAACAAACAAGACATGCATAGAATGACAATATATAGCTGTGGTAACAATTAAGACAAACTCACCCAGTTGCTGTATACCGATGGCGGCTATCACAGTGTGTACTTCCAGGTATGCGCGCGCGCACACATTACTGCTCTCCGCCCTTTGACGTGCACATGATGCGTGCCGTTCTGCTAGCCGGCGATATGTGTGTAGTATCCTAGCAACCGCGGACGTCTGAATTCGGCGACCATGAGAATAGGATACATACTTTAACATAAAAAAAAAAAAAAGGTGGTGAAATATAAATGAAGGTTCTATTAGAACATATCAATAGTGCAAGTGAATAGAGTAGATGTGATAGAACAGACATAATGCCTGTTTAATACTAAGTGACAGTGAAGTCATATAGTGTATCATTAAAGAGACAAGCAGATCTAAATAGCAAGATGGAATTTAAAGGCTATATAAAGTGATTAAAGTGTAATGCCATACAGACATATAAACCCCTCTAGACATAACATAAAACATCTACATGTTAATAAGTAGCTCTAGACATATATATTGCTATGAGCTACCAGTTCTACAATATTCACATATACCATAAGTAAAACCAAAACAATACAAGCTAATTGGGTCAGATAAATGGATAATATACTTTCATTGAGCCCTTTGGGTGCCACTGTACCTAACTGGTAAATCCAAAAAGCTTCTTTCTGGAGTAACATTCTGCCTCTGTTACCACCCCTTTTACGGAAAGGAATGTGGTCTATACCCACAAACTTGAGGGAGGATAATGGGTGCCCCATCTGCAGGAAGTGTTTGGCCACAGGCTTATCGGATTGCCCATCTCTGTAGGCTAACCTAATACTGGAGCGATGGCCCCTAATGCGCTCACAAAGAGGTGTCTCAGTTTTCCCCACATAGTACAGGCCACACGGACACATGAGCTTATATACCACGAAGGGGGTTCTGCAAGTAATCGTGTGCCTGATGTCATATAATAAATATATTATTTATTTTTTTGTGTTGGGAAATGAAGTCCTAAATGGGGTGCAGAGACATCTTTTGTTAAAACAAATGACATTTTATTGAGGTAATTGTAGGTAATTATTGTCTGCCCTTGTTAAAGTTACCTTGTTATGGCCCTGCGATTAAGATACTTCAAAATTGTTCATGCATGTACTTATCAAGTTATATTCAACAAAAATTCTTCTGATTAATCAACCAGTCTGAGATAGAATTACAGGTGACTTTAGCAGGTAGTAATTATAAGATGTTTTCGTTAACGATACCGATCATGTCAAGGGAAACTCCTTCATAAATGTTAGCTGAAGGCTTAATGTTGTTTGTGATTCTATTCAGTTTATTTTTCTGGTTTGTGATAATTTTCGCATATAATTTGTGTATCTGTGGCCTTTTAAAAGATATTGATTGCATTGAAAGTGCTTTTAATTAGAAAGGTGACAAAAAAATGTTCAGTGGAAAAATAGACAATCACTATAAAAATGGCCCATACGTGGAAATGTGTACATACAGTCACTATAGCAAGTATTCTAGGATGTTGCAATCTCTCAAAGGCTGTACAAAAGCATAACCTTTGTAATGGAGAAATGCCTGATAGATAATGTTACATTACAGTACACAGCCGGTTAGGATATCAGTACGTCATGCTAGTGTTTTTTCAAGAAAAGACATCAATGGAAAATATGGGGGGTACTGCATTGAGGCATTTACCTACACAATGCCTACTATGCCCCAAGAATGCCACAGTTCCACAATATAGTAACAATACCATTGGCTGCGAACTTAATTCAGCTGACTTATTTTATGTTTTTCACCATGTCAAGGGTACTCTGGCAGGATCTACCTTAAAGCGACACAGGTTTCTACCTTCGGGCTTACCTGTAAGTGGGGAGCAGTGTCCAAGGATACTGCTGCCGCCTTCAAAATAGCATTTTTTTTTTAATTTAATATATTGCAAAATCAGCAACATATTAAAGAAATGATTCCCTGGTGGTCAGTTGCTGGAATGCATGGTCTGCACCTCCTCCTGGTGCAGACCATGTTACTCGTCCCTCACAGTTCTGGCACTCGGTGAGGGAGGGGAAGTCAGAACACATCCACCTGTATTACCAGAATGTAGTTTGGCTTCATTACGGAGTGCTGGACTGAAGGGAGAATTTAATGGCATGCACCAGACGGAGGTGCATCTACTTCATCACTGGACCTCCAGTGAATTGTTATTTAGAGAAACAAAATAGTCACTTTTATTTCTAATGCGGGAAGTTTGGCTAATGCTTAACAAACAGCAGGTGTGTATATTGCTGTATAGGAATGCACAGGTTTTTAAAAAAAAAAAAATGTTGTTACAACTGCTACATGCCTCCTCCTATCCTGGCTGCTATTCCGTAACATTGAAATGCTATGCAGGACAGATCACACCCAAGTCTACCAGAGTTTCATGTAGTTTGTTTCTCAGACAAAGACCAGTTCTCGAGCAAAAATGTAGAGAACCCAAGGGGTACATTAACCTTTCATTCCTAAAAGTAAACGTGATGATGAAAATCAAAAGGTTAATTGGGACTTCTGCCATATGATTGACACTTCTTGGTACATTAGTCTCTCATCCAGTATTTATTGACATGTTAACGGCTGCCAGTGAATTGTTAACAATATTGATGTAATTACGATACCACTGTTCTGATCTTTTGCAACACCACCTATTTTATTTCTGTTAACCAGGGATCGACCAATATTGATTTTTTTTTTTTTATTTAATTTTATTTTTTTTAGAGCCTATACCGATAATCTGTGAGCTTTCATGCCGATAATTTACTGATATTCTGTACATTTCCCGTTTTGAAAAAATAAACGATTTCTACACAAATCTACTGTTAACTGAACATGTTTTTTTTTTTTTGCAAATTTTTTTTTTTCCTCTTAAGGTAAATGCACAAAATATACATGCCAGTCAGAATTTCTAATGGTTTCAAGAATATATGTGTGTGAGTAGTGGATGTGAGAGTATTTGATTGGTGGATGCAGTGTGTGTGTGTGTGTGTGTATAATAACAACAAAGTATTTAACCAGGAAAGGCACATTCAGATTACTCTGGTTTTCAAGTACATCCTGGGGATGTTACCTTAGCCCAACATCCAGGGGTTGTTACCATTACCCAATTTATAATGAATGCAGTGTGTGTGTGTGTGTGTGTGTGTAGAGTGAATGCAGTGTGTTTGTGTAGGTATGTAATGTGTGTAAAATAGGGGGGACGGCATTTTAATGTTTTTAACATTAGGTTTTTAACATTCGTTTTTAAATATTTAATATTTAATTTTTTAATATTTAGCTTTAGTCCTCCCCCCACCCCCTGCTTCTTACCTGGCCGGGGGTGGGGGGATATGGCATTCCCTGGTGGTCCGGTGGCATGCACTCTGCAGAGGGGACTAACCAGCAGCTCCCCTGTCTAACTCTCGCAGCCTGCGTGCCGCGCAGAGTGTTGCCATTGTAACCTGTGGTAATGCTCTGACGTCCGCGAGAGTCGCGACATTTAGACAGGGGAGCTGAAGGGAGCTGCTGGGAAGGGAAATAGGTGTGCTGCAGGCTCTCCAGGACCGTCCTGTTTGTCAGGCTCTGGTCTGCATTATCATCAATATTGGTATCTTTATAGGCTGATACCGATATTGCTGAAAATTCAGAATATCGTCCAGACCAATAATCGGTCGATCCCTATGGGTAACATACATTAAGTATTCAAGTTTCAGTGGTCAACATACAGCTGAAGAGTTATAGTATAAAGGACTTCTAAAGGCACCACGACCACTTCATCTCAATGTAGTTTTAAAGGACCACTTTTGGGCACCATATTTATGGAAATTTGTTGGTTATGGTGCCAAGAGATCCCCGGGCGCATTGTTACCTGAATGGGTCAATACGTTCTTGAAGTTTTTAACCCAAAGGACCAGTGCCGGATCTCCAATTCCCCGAGCAGTATTTGGCTTCAGCGCCGCTGTTTGGCTAGACTAATCATCTGACTCTCCATACCAGGGGTGCCCAAAAGGTAGATCTCCAGAGATGTTTTAAAACTACAGCTTCCATGATGATTTGTCATTCTAAAGGCATGCAAAGCATCATGGGAGTGGTAGTTCTCTAACATCTGGGGTTATACCTTTTTGGAACCTTGCTCTAAGCCAATCAGTAGCTAACCATTTATTAAAAAAAAAGTACATACCTTCATCTAAGAAAGCACCTGGGAACTCCTGGCACCATAACAACTTCATGTTGATGAAGTTTGTTATGGAGCACAGTGTATTCTTTTAACTCTGCAGTTTAAAACATTGTAGTTTCCATTGCAGGGTTAATACGCCTCTATTGGCTTCCTACCTGACAGCCACTAGAGGCACTTACATGTTAAGAATCAAGTCAAAGATTACAAGACTAATGTTCCGCGATTCAGTGCTGACCGTTACCCATAGAGATGCATTGACTAAATCCAACGCTGACGAGATACTTATTGGCACAGAACGGCGCTTGTACATAGATTGAAGGCACTTTTGAGGCTAGCCTTCATGTATCCCCATTTTATAATTGTGAAATGCCGCGGAATACGTTGGTGCTGTAAAAATGCTGATTGTAATGTGCACTAGCCACCAGGGTCATGGGCGACCAACGCTGATTAATGCACACATGGGTGTAGGCTAGCATGTGTAGTCTGATCACACAGAAGAGCTACTGTAGCACAAATTGCAAAAATACTTATTGCTGGCCATGATAGAAAGATGTCAGAACACACCTGGCATCGCAGTTTGCACTATATGGTTCTGTGTAGCTGCAGACAGGTCAGAGTGTCCATGATGACATCTGTTCACCACCGAAAGCGCCTTCATTGATGTGAGCTTTAGAACTGGACCATGGAGTAATGGAAGAAGGTTGCCTGGTCTTATGAATAAAGTTTCCTTTTACGTATGCATCATTTACCTAGGGAAGAGATGGCAGCAGGATGCACTATGGGGCGGAGGCAGTGTTGTGCTTTGAGCCAGGGCTTGACAATTTGTTTGGAATCTAGGAGCCAGCTAAAAAAGTTGAGCCAGTCATTTTCAACGAGAGAGTGCAATTCTTAAAGGGACACTATAGTCATCAGAACCACTTCAGCTTAATGTAGTTGTTCTGGTGTCTATAGCCTGTCACTGCAGGTGATTTTAGTGTAAACACTGCCTTTTCTGAAAAAAGGCCGAGTTTACATTGCGGCTTAGGAACACCTATAGTGACAGTCACTCAGACGGCCAGTAGAGTCCTGGGTCACTGCTGCATCACGTGCAGCACTCTGGTTCAGTGGCTCTGCATGGAGGCGCTGAATGTTCCTCATAGATTTATTAATTTAATGTATGTATGAGGAGATGCGGATTTGTACGTTTGCTGTGCATGCACAAAATCCTCCCAATGCTTTCCTAAGGGAAGGGATTGGCTTAGCTGAGATCATAGATTGAGAATCTCCGCCATGGTGAAACTGACATGGCGTGGAAAAATAGGAATAAAGGTAGGGATCGACAGATTATCGGTCTGACTAATATTATCGTCCGATATTCAGTATTTTCGGCAATATCCGTATCAACCAATAAAGATACTGATATTGCCGATACTACGTATCAGGACTGCCAGGCCCATTACAGGCCGCAAGAGTTAGACAGGGGAGCTGAAGGGAGCTGCTGAGAAGGTAAGTAAGAACTTGCTGGGCCCCCTCTGCACAGTCCATGCCACCGGACCACCAGGGAATGCCATATCCCCCCTCCCTGGCCAGGTAACAAGCAGTTAGGGGGGACTAAAAAAAAAAAAAATGCTCCCCCATTCTACACAAATTACATACCTACAGAAACACACACACACTACACAGACACCCTGCATTCATTATATACACACGGAAGGGTGGGGTCAGACAATAGCAAGGGCTGATGGGAGATTGAGGAGGGACAAAGCAGCTAGTTTAAGCTGGTCTGGCATTGTCCCTGGGACAACTCCCTGCTGAGGAAACAATAGGACAGGAAAAAGGGGGAGGGGAAGAGGCACAGACCAGCAATACATTCAACATACTCCTCCTCTGTGTCTCAGAGATAATTCTCTCCAGGTACAGAAAAACACACAATTTACAAACACTCCAAAAATACCCCCAAGATCCATGGGAACCCCACAAGAGTCACATCCTAGGATAGCCCTGATCTGGGTGACCAACATATCCAAAAATCACCCAGATCGGTTCACTGGTTTGGTTTTTCCATGGAAGTCACTTTTTAACATGTCTTTTTGCAGGGCCCATAATCCTGGGACAAGAGGCTGGCAAGGAGGCCCCTCAAAGTACCAATGGCGAGGTTACTTTCGCCACAGCATGTTTTTTTTTCTGTGCTTGGAGATAATTGGATTACATTAGTACAGTTCCTGATCCAATTATCTCTATGCACAGAGGAGGGATTATCTAATGGAATTTGGGAGTGTCATGTATTTAAACACCATTGTCATTGGTCTGTGACTTTGTGCTGCAGTCCCCCACAAGGTCCAGAGGGGAGTGCCCCTTTCATGAGGACATGCATATAAGGCCAGTTGTGGCTGCCATTAATAATGCCAGCGTGCACTCCAAAACTGTGTGTCGTCCTGTTATTGGAGGGAAGGAAGATTTAACCCCTGTGTCTGCTGTTCCAGCTTGCAGGGGATTCAACGGGGAAAGTCCTTGTAAAGACTAGAGCTTCCAGGACTGAATGTCATCCAGTGCCTGGGGGTGTCTAGAGCGAATTCCCCGTTCGGCTCCAGGAAGGAGCGGTTTCAGGGCCCCAGTGAAGCCATGGTGACTTTGGGCAGAAGTGCTGCGGTTTGTCCCCTGCTCCAGCTAGGAAGCACTCCTTGTCGGCGGTACCCAGTCGGGGTACAGGGAGCTCCTTTACAAAACCGTTTAACTGGCTAATGTAAATTCTGTACAAATTTGGCATCTGTCTTCAGTACACAGAGCATGCTATTGACAGACAGCCAATGGCAACCCATGTCCTCCCCTGGGTAGCTAGGTGGATTGACATCAATGGAGGAGGATCACTTTAAACTTGACCTCGGCGCTGCAATACAGGAGTATTATTTTTTTTATTTTTTTTAATCTGACCAGGACAGCAATGGTTACCAAAACCAAAGTTTTTTTTTAAACACTGGTTTTTGGTTGGAGTAACAAATAAACAGAGCAAAATAGTTTCACTGTGATTTAACTTTTTTTTTTTTTTTTTTTAAATATTTACCACAGAGTTAATGCTTGGAGTTTCTCCCAAAAGTTGTTTTCCCAGCTATAAATCTTTTCATTGATTTTTGTTCTGGCCTTTGCAAATCTGTGTCCAGACTCTTAAGACACTCTTTTTAGACCTCTTTTCTTCAATTGGCTTTTTTGTATTTAAGGTTATTGTCCTTGTGGAAGCTGAATATCTGCCAGTTCACTTGTTTCAGTTTGGAAAAAAAAAACTTGGAACTGCATGAAAGAGAAGCACACTGACCCTAAATACCTTTTTAATTTTAGCATTGATAAAGGTGTCTCTGTGGGAAGTTCATAGCAGGGCTTGAAATTTCCAATTGGATATTGATGAATGAATATTTAGCCCAGGGTCGTAGAAATTCATCCCATGTAAGTGTGCCATGGATACTCAAAGATTGCAGTGATTTAGGAGTTGAAATCTGAGGCTCCTTCATAATGTCTTTTTATTGTTATTCATAGTAATAGTAGTAGTATGTATTTTTTGTAATTTTTTTTTTTTAAACCCAGCGTTAGATTAATTTTACTCCAGAATTGTATGAATCTAATCTTGTGATTTTTATTTTTCTATATGGGTGTATGTCATCTTAGACTGTAAGATGTTGGGGTTCATTCAACTAATTATGTGACTGCTTACTTTGCTGGAGTATCAGTATAATGAAGCTTTATTCTTATTTGGGAGGTTTCCACACATTACATGCTGATGAGCTAGAAAGCCAGTGATGAAATTGAGTAATTTGACTTTAAACCAACAAATCTGAGCGCTCTGAATGAAATTGCACTGCGTGGGAAGGCTTTATAAGCCTTTCCCCATCCTGCAAAGCTCAGTCTGCGCAGAGCCCTCACTGGCTGAAGATGGTTATATTTCATGTTTTTTTTTTTTGTTTTGTTTTTTTTTGTATTTTTGCGATCAAGTCTTTTTTAATTTTATTTGGGTTTTATGGAATTTTATTTGTCATTTTTGGACTGAAAAAGGATGTTGGACGAAAGGAATTTTAAAAAATGTTCAGGTATTTAATTTATTGCTCCTCCATCACTTACTATTGGGGTGGGGGGTGACTATGGGCCTCCTAGTCACCCGGGGGTTGAGGTGACAAAAGGTCCCACTTCCCTTGTCACTTAGGGCCCCCACCCACTACCATGGGTGGGGACTGGGAGGGAGACAATAGGTTCCCCCCACTTATCATTTAGAGCCCCCAGCCACTGCTAATAGGTGGGGTCAGGGTGGAGACTGTACGCCTGCCCTCATCAGTAAAGGGCCCCCAGCCGCTGCTAAGTGGTGGGGGCCTGGGGAATGATGGCAAGAGGCCCCCCTCCCCATATCACTTTGGTGGGAACTAGGTCCCCTATTTAGTTTAATAGCCTCCACTTGCGGGCATGGATGGGTGCTGGTGGGGACAGGGTACACTATATCCGCCTCATGTTAATTTAATAGGAGCTCACCATGGGGTTTCTTTGTCAGGTCCCCCTTTATTGGATTGGGGTGGGGTCTTGTACATGAAAAACCCAGGAGACACCTGGTATGTTTCAGACAAGCAGTGTGACTATTTATTCAGTGCCAATAGATAAAGGTCTTTGAATGCAAAATTGTAGCAAGCAATGTCATTGGACTTGGAGAGATTAAAATGTTTTCTGTAGCATGACTTGTTCACTTTGATAGTTCTAGTTACATTTGATATTTTGGGCAATTTATTGCTTTTTCAATGTATCTCACTTTCTTTTTGACATACTTTTTTTGTGTCAAAAAGGAATTTGATTCATGTGAACAAATTTTTACACAACTTATATATGCACGTTTATTTAGTTATTTTGGCTAAAGGCCTTCTCACATATGCGTCAATAGAATACCCACATGTCAACGTTTCAGTTCCAATTATGAACTTTTCTTCAGGACGATTAATAAGTTCTTAATTGGAACTGAAAAGTTGACGTGCTGTTTTAGTGATTGAATGAAGGATTCATACATTTTGAAGACCGAGAGTGTGGGTATTCTATTTAAATTTACAGGTATATTCCATTGAATCATGGCACTCAGACGTTTGATCCTTTCTCAAGACACAGTTTGGTCTTAAAAATAATGACACACCTGCTGTGTAATATGGAGTAAACAAAATGGTATTTTTTTCAAAGAACTGTCCGTTTCCATATTTCTACAACTCATTGGATTATATGTTCGCTTAATTTAGGATGAACCTGGGTATTAAATACATAAGCAAGTTAAAATACAAGTATGGGAGCCATCATATCTACAGGTGTGTAATAGTGTACATTTTGTGTATGTGCGTGTGTTATATTTTTCAAACCTTTTTGGGCCATGTCTCATTTGAGGTAATTTAGCGTTCTAGCATTCTACTATTTTGCTAGCCTTAAAAATACATATTTTTAAAAAGTAGAAAACTGTAGAACCTATGTGACTAAATTTATATCAGCCCTTTTTTTACAGTGAGAAAGAGGGAGTCTGATATATACGGAGTAATAAGCAAAGCTGCACATAGAAGTCTATAGTCTTATTGCTTGAGTCTATGAGCTTTCCACTGCCATGTTTAATTAGCAGTCACACACACACGTATTAATCTGCTAGGAGAATTAGTGGGTCTCCAGGAGTTAATCTATATGGTTTTTGCTAAGAATTTGTCTGCAGCTCATGTCAACACAAATATAATCAAAGATGAACATTTTGAGATCTGAATAACTTGAGGTTTTCAGACCACATCTCACCTCCACCCCCATTGTATTTTTGAATAACCTTGGAATGTTGTAGCATTTTGCATACATCCCCGTGACGTCACAGGACATCCTCAATGGTTCCTGTATGTGTTTTTTCCTTAATTGTAATTCGTGATTGTCTTTACTATCCCAAACTATTTATGGAAAAGTCCAGTATATGTAAACTTCATTTCCTTCTTTATGGTATATATGTGTTTATGTATTCAATATTGTATGAATATATTTTACGGCAAAAACAAATTTGTATTACTTCAAATTTCTTTGGCTAATGCATTTGTTACTGCCATCTTAATTCTGTTTATTTTCCAATGTGGTTTGTATGGTTATATGGCCTTCATGTAATTAGTCAACACATGGATGTGCTAATATGATTAATATCAAAGGTGCAGCCTCTGTGATTGAACCAAGCTTAAGCCATTGGTCACATATAGGATATTTCAACTGGTGGCTAATCATTACTCATGAAGAAACACACCATGTTTATGCATGGAGAGATGGAAAGAGGGCACTAGAAATGTGTCAGCACATCAAGGTATTAAAGGCACAGTTTAAGATCCCTTGACCCTGAAAAGGACTCGATTTAAGAAGGTGGAATGGAAATAGGGACAATATATCCCATTCCATCATTGATCTTGAAATCCCCTGTTGCTGTTCCTGTATTCAATGTTAAACCATTTTTGAGTTTTTCTTATTATTCACATTTATATAGCAACCAGCTTATTCTCCCGCACTTATAGTTTAACACTAAATGCCACCAAACAGCCTTGACCCCAACCTATGGCATATTACACACTTGCCTCCAAGTGTGTAGTCAAAGAGGAGCATTGGAGACCGTAGACACCAGCGCTGTAGTCACTTGTCATAGAGAATCATTGCATGCAGTGATGATAATGATGGAATTTGAAAGAAGAGGGTGTAGGCCATAGAACATTGCCTTTGTTTTGATCGCCCCTAATTTATGATTAGGAGCCAATTTTAAAGTACTAAGTAGCAAACCATAGCTAGATACCCTCTGCCATTGTTATTTTCCCCTTTTTTATAATATTTTTAAAAAAAATGTAATAACTATTTGAAAAGAAATTGTAAAATGTATTTGTATATACTGTACTGAAATTGCAATTGGAAATGTGCATAACAAGAACGTAGTTTTAAGTATTTGTTTATTTTGAAACTATTTTTTTATTTTATTTGAGAGATGCCAGCTGTGTTTGCGTTGGCCCTCAAGGGGTTCAGCTTTTCTCGTCAAGTGATCAAATGGCTTATGTGACTCCTGTATGAACTGGCCCTGGTTGTCTGATTTCTGGGAGCAATGGATCTTCTTTACAGCTGCATTGTCAATGACGTTTTGGCTGCTGATAATTCTGGTATCACATCATCATGCCAAGGGCTTGGTAATGGAGAAGCTGTGCTTAGACTGCGATGTAGAATGAATGCAGATGCAAATGGTCTGTTTTCAATTGTTTACTGATTTCCTCACCTCATGCGTTGCTCTGGGTTTCACTTGACGTAACTCTTCCCACCCTCTCGGGAAAGTGGGGAAAAAACACTGCTCTGTTAGCAATGAACTGCTTAAAGCACTACTGAAAATTATTTTAATTTAGTAAAAAACAAGGTAATCACTTGCCTATCTTTCCCACTCCCCGTTTTAGACAGCTGTCTGTAGGCACCTTCGATCAGTTTGCCAGTTATCCAGCCCAGTGCTCACTATTTTGCAGCGGTGTGTTGCTGTTTTTTTGGATGTTGGCACACTTACCCCCCCATTTGTAGGAGGTAGGAGCATTTTACAGTAAAAGTAGACAGAAAGAGCACTCGCTTTTCAAAAGCAACCGACAGTTGCAAAACATTGAGCATTGGGTCGAATAACTGTCAGTCCCATTAAAAGATGCAAGAAAGTAGGTGGCTGTCAGCAAGGTAGGAGAGTGATTAAAAAAAAAGGGTAATTTTTCCTTTCATATTCATGTGTGTATCTGTTTGAGTATGTATCTCACAGGGTGTATTTGTGTGTGTGTGTGTGTGTGTGTGTGTGTAACTCAGAGAGTGTATTGAGGAAGGCCCATTCAGAGGTTTTGTATTGAGACTCAGAAGTTCTGATGGGAGCCTTGGGTTAAAGTTGCACTCCTGAACAGCAGGCGCATTTGAAGGAGCTAAATTTTATTAACCCCTTAAGGACTGGACTGTTTTTGCGATGTTGTACATTTGCAACCAGGAATATTTTTACACTTTTCTGGTGTTTGTGTTTAGCTGTTATTTTCCGCTCTCTCATTTACTGTTCCCATACAAATTATATATTGTTTTTTTCAGGACAAAAGGGGCTTTCTTTACATACCATTATTTATATAATCTCATGTATTTTAATTTAAAAAAAATAAAAAAATATGATGAAAAATTGAAAAAAATACATGTTTTTTGACTTTTACTTGAAAAATCTTTTACTCATCTACAAAAGCGAATGAAAAAAACAGCTAAATAGATTCAAAATTTTGTCCTGAGTTTAAAAATACCCAGTGTTTACATGCTTTTTTGCTTTTTTTTGCAAGTTATAGGGCTATAGGTACAAGTAGGATATGGCGGTTTCAAAACAAAATTTTTTTAAATGTATCAATAGTGACATTGTAACACTATTATCTGTCATAAATCTCTGGAAAACACTCCACATGTATATATTTTTTTTAAAGTAGACAACCCAGGGTATTCATCTAAGGATATTTTGACACTTTCTATGCAGCCATTTTACCACAAGTCTTTGCCAAACTTTGCATAGATAGTTGTTTTTTTTGTTTTTTTTCACATACATTGCAATTCAGGTATAAACTTACAGATCCTGTTATGTCTTGCTGCCAAACAACACGCCAATATGTGTTCAGCAACATCTCCTGAGTACAGTGATACCACCCATGCATAGGCTTGTCGGATTGTTTGGGGGCTAAAAGGCCACATTTGGCAGGTGCGCATATCCATTTTTCATCTTGGAATTTTGACATGTAGTCAACCTGCGCACATGTCCTATTTGGGACATTTGTAAGGCTGGCCAATGTATTTTACCCCCACCAAACCATATATTTTTGGAAAGTAGACACCCTAGGGTATTTCAAATGGTGGTTTTTTAACACTTTCCATGCACTAATTCTACCACCAGACTTTGTCAAACATTTAGGTAGTAATTTTTTGTGTGTTTTTTTTCACACACATTGTACTTTAGGCATGAATTAACAAATCGTGTTATGTGTCACTGCCAAACAACACGCCAATATGTGTTCAGCAACATCTCCTGAGTACAGTGATACCACCCATGCATAGGCTTGTCGGATTGTTTGGGGGCTAAAAGGCCACATTTGGCAGGTGCGCATATCCATTTTTCAACTTGGAATTTTGACATGTAGTCAACCTGCGCACATGTCCTATTTGGGACATTTGTAAGGCCGGCCAATGTATTTTACCCCCACCAAACCATATATTTTTGGAAAGTAGACACCCTAGGGTATTTCAAATGGTGGTTTTTTAACACTTTCCATGCACTAATTCTACCACCAGACATTGTCAAACATTTAGGTAGTCATTTTTTGTGTGTTTTTTTTCACACACATTGTACTTTAGGCATGAATTAACAAATCGTGTTATGTGTCACTGCCAAACAACACGCCAATATGTGTTCAGCAACATCTCCTGAGTACAGTGATACCACCCATGCATAGGCTTGTCGGATTGTTTGGGGGCTAAAAGGCCACATTTGGCAGGTGCGCATATCCATTTTTCAACTTGGAATTTTGACATGTAGTCAACCTGCGCACATGTCCTATTTGGGACATTTGTAAGGCCGCCAATGTATTTTACCCCCACCAAACCATATATTTTTGGAAAGTAGACACCCTAGGGTATTTCAAATGGTGTTTTTTTAACACTTTCCATGCACTAATTCTACCACCAGACATTGTCAAACATTTAGGTAGACATTTTTTGTGTGTTTTTTTTCACACACATTGTACTTTAGGCATGAATTAACAAATTGTGTTATGTGTCACTGCCAAACAACACGCCAATATGTATTCAGCAACATCTCCTGAGTACAGTGATACCACCCATGCATAGGCTTGTCGGATTGTTTGGGGGCTAAAAGGCCACATTTGGCAGGTGCGCATATCCATTTTTCAACTTGGAATTTTGACATGTAGTCAACCTGCGCACATGTCCTATTTGGGACATTTGTAAGACCGGCCAATGTATTTTACCCCCACCAAACCATATATTTTTGGAAAGTAGACACCCTAGGGTATTTCAAATGGTGGTTTTTAACACTTTCCATGCACTAATTCTACCACCAGACTTTGTCAAACATTTAGGTAGTCATTTTTTGTGTGTTTTTTTTCACACACATTGTACTTTAGGCATGAATTAACAAATCGTGTTATGTGTCACTGCCAAACAACACGCCAATATGTGTTCAGCAACATCTCCTGAGTACAGTGATACCACCCATGCATAGGCTTGTCGGATTGTTTGGGGGCTAAAAGGCCACATTTGGCAGGTGCGCATATCCATTTTTCAACTTGGAATTTTGACATGTAGTCAACCTGCGCACATGTCCTATTTGGGACATTTGTAAGGCCGGCCAATGTATTTTACCCCCACCAAACCATATATTTTTGGAAAGTAGACACCCTAGGGTATTTCAAATGGTAGTTTTTTAACACTTTCCATGCACTAATTCTACCACCAGACATTGTCAAACATTTAGGTAGTCATTTTTTGTGTGTTTTTTTTCACACACATTGTACTTTAGGCATGAATTAACAAATCGTGTTATGTGTCACTGCCAAACAACACACCAATATGTGTTCAGCAACATCTCCTGAGTACAGTAATACCACCCATGCATAGGCTTGTCAGATTGTTTGGGGGCTAAAAGGCCACATTTGGCAGGTGCGCATATCCATTTTTCAACTTGGAATTTTGACATGTAGTCAACCTGCGCACATGTCCTATTTGGGACATTTGTAAGGCCGGCCAATGTATTTTACCCCCACCAAACCATATATTTTTGGAAAGTAGACACCCTAGGGTATTTCAAATGGAGTTTTTTTTTTTAACACTTTCCAGGCACTAATTCTACCACCAGACTTTGTCAAACATTTAGGTAGTCATTTTTTGTGGTTTTTTTTTTTTTCCACACACATTGTACTTTAGGCATGAATTAACAAATCGTGTTATGTGTCACTGCCAAACAACACCCCAATATGTGTTCAGCAACATCTCCTGAGTACAGTGATACCACCCATGCATAGGCTTGTTGGGTTGTTTGGGGGCTAAAAGGCCACATTTGGCAGGTGTGCATATCCATTTTTCCAACTTGGAATTTTGACATGTAGTCAACCTGCGCACATGTCCTATTTGGGACATTTGTAAGGCCGGCCAATGTATTTTACCTTCACCAAACCATATAATTTTGGAAAGTAGACACCCTAGGGTATTTCAAATTGTGGTTTTGTTAACACTTTCCATGCACTAATTCTACCACCAGACTTTGTCAAACTTTTAGATAGTCATTTTTTGTGTGTGTTTTTTTCACACACACTGTACTTTAGGCATGAATTAACAGATCGTGTTATGTGTTACTACCAAACAACACCTCAATATGTGTTCCGCAACATCTCCTGAGTACAGTGATACCAACCATGCATAGCCTTGTCGGGTTGTTTGGGGGCTAAAAGGCTACATATAGCAGGTGCGCATATCCATTTTTCAACTTGGAATTTTGACATGTAGTAAACCTGCGCCCCTGTCCTATTTGGGCCAATGTATTTTACCCCCATCAAACCATATATATTTTGAAAAGTAGACAACTCAGGGTATTTTAAATGGTGGTAGTTTAACACTTTTCATGCAATAATTCTACCACCAGCCTTTGGCAAACTTTTGGGTAGTAATTTTTTTCGTGTTTTTTTACACACACATTGTACTTTAGGCATGAATTAACAGATCCTGTTATGTATCACTGCCAAACAACACCCCAATATGTGTTCAGCAACATCTCCTGAGTACAGTGACATCACCCATGCATAGGTTTGCTGGGTTGTTTGGGGGCTAAAAGGCCACATTCAAGACTTGTACATATCAGTTTTTCAACTTGATATATGGGTATGCTTGGCCTATCTTCAGTTTGGCATATTTTTGCATCCCCCCGTTAATGTTAACATCATGAAAGTTTATATTTTTATAAAGTAGACATTCCAGAGTATTGTATATGAGGTGTTTTCACATCCTTCCCCCAACCATTGTGCTAAACAAATTTCAGAGAACGTGCATGGTGGTAATTTTTTAATTCTGCTTTTTATGCACACGTCATCTGGTTTTGGCCAGCCAGTTATATGTTACTACCATAAAACTTTTTTAACCAAATGTGCAGGTATCAAATGCACCTTTAGCAGCATTCTCTAAACTAACTCCTGCAAAAAGAATCTAATTGGAGATTTGGGGGGAAGGAAACTGACTAACTAAAATTTGCTGTTTTCAAAAGAAAAAAAAACAGTGTCCTTTTCCTTTTTTATAACAGACCCAGCAACATTTCAGGGGATTTGTTTTTTTTTTGCAGTTGGCAGTATCTTAAAAATAAAATGTCTGGACTCCTTTGGCACCGTTGTTGGAACTTGACCATCTCCATAAATTATTGTGGAAATCAGCTTGAACTAAAATTGGAGAAAGGTGGTTCTTTCTGAATTCATTTTTTTTAAAGAGTAAAAATTAATTATGTGTTGCTACTTGCATCAGGTAGATAGCCACCTTTTTATGCCAGGCTTTTGTCTTTCTTAAGATAAGATATGGCTGCATCAGCTGATCAGCCAAATCAACACCCCCCATGTGCCTGTTATAAGCCCTGATGCACACCGGTTTTGTCTGTACCCTGCCTCGGACAGTGGCGTCTGACATGCCCTCGTTATGGATGGTTGTTAGCATGTGAACATCCTTCCTGTCCTTAAATTTTATTGCAAGCACTTTAGCTTTGTGCAGACCTTTACATTCACTTTTTTTTTTTTTTTTGGCCTCTATTAAAGGTCTGGGGAAATCCTTGGCATATCTTCTCACACTGCCACAGGCCAGTATCTAGAAACCCTAAAGAGTTTGAAACAAACAGACAATGCTATAAAAATTGTCCACATAAAGGTGGTAACCCTTATTGAACAAGGGGATCAGTAAGTCAAAAACAAGTTTCCCGCTTGTCCCCAGAGAGTCAGTACAGCCAGGAGGGTCCAGTTGACCATCTTTCCCCTCATATATACGAAAGGCAAATGTATAGCCACTTTCGCTCTCGCACAGTTTGTAGAATTTTACGCCATACCTAAAGCGCTTTGAGAGGATGTATTGTTTGAATCCTAATCTCCCTTTATATTTCATTAACGATTCATCAATAGATACATTTTTTTGAGGAGTATAAACTTCAGTAAATTTGTGCTGAAGATGGTCTACCAGTGGGTGTATTTTATGAAGCCTATCATATTGGGTGTGATCTCTGCGGTGACAGAGGGTATTGTCATTGAAATGTAAGTATCTCAGCAGCAGCTCAAATCTTGTTCTAGACATGGTTTGAGAGTACACTCGACTAGAACAGATTGGGTTGGTGCTCCAGTAAGAGCAAATTGATGGCTTCTTTATAATCCCCATGAGAATTGTAAGAGCCCAGAATTTTTTAAGTTCAGCGACATCTGTGGGATGCCAAGCACACTCCTCCCTGACTGCATAGCTATCTGGATTGGTATCAATAAATTGGGTAGCATATAAATTAGTCTGGGGAGCAATCTCCTCCCACATGGTATCCCCTAAAAATAGCTCCATATATTGCATAGAGGAGAAGTCATCCACATTGACATTAATGCCTGTGTTGGCACTAAAAGGGGTGATTTGGGGCTCAGCTAACTGTGGAGAAACCTGTTCCTCCTCCACATTCGGCGTAGCAGAGAAAGCACAGCTTCTTTTTGCAGCCAGCTCACACACAGATGACATGTCAGAAAACTGACCTGGGTCAAAATCGGACGCAGTGTCAGTGGCGTCAGAGTCTGGCTAACACAGAGTTAAAAAACAGACTAAATGAGACTAAAACTTCTGTTAGCAGCAATCTGTAAACTAACTCCTGCAAAAAGAATCTAACTGGAGATTTGGGGAAGGATACTGACTAACAGAAATTTGCTGCTTTCAAAATAAACAAAAAAAATAAATCAGGAACAAGTATTATAAAAATGTATTTTCTGTGTGGTAGACCTTAAAACATTCTCCAATGCACAGTCCAGGTTTTGTATGGCAATCGGGACAGTGAAAAGGGGTGTCTGTCCTTTTCCCTTTTTTATAACAGACCCGGCAACGTTTCTGGGGGTTTCTTTTTTTTGGTGTTGGCGGTATCTTAAAAATAAAATGTCTAGACGACTCTTGCACTGTCGTTGGAACTTGACCATCTCCATAAATTATTGTGGAAATCAGCTTGAGCTGAAATTGGAGATAGGTGGTTCTTCCTGGATTAATTTTTTAAAAAAGTAAAAATGAATTATGTGTTGCTACTTGCAACAGGTAGATAGCCACCTTTTTATACCAGGCTTTTGTCTTTCTTAAGATAAGATATGGCTGCATCAGCTGATCAGCCAAATCAACACCCCCCATGTGCCTGTTATAAGCCCTGATGCACACCGGTTTTGTCTGTACCCTGCCTCGGACAGTGGCGTCTGACATGCCCTCGTTATGGATGGTTGTTAGCATGTGAACATCCTTCCTGTCCTTAAATTTTAGCGCAAGCAGTTCAGCCTTGCGCAGAGCTTTGCATTCCCCTTTTTTTAATTTGGCCTCTATGAGAGGTCTGGGAAAATCCTTGGCATTTCTTCTTACAGTGCCGCAGGCCAGTTTCTGTAAACTATAAAGAATTTTAAACAAGTGGACACTGCTGTAAAAATTGTCCACATAAAGGTGGTAACCCTTATTGAACAAAGGGTTCAGTAGGTCCCAAACAAGTTTCCCAGTTGTCCCCAGAGAGTCAGGACAGCCAGGAGGGTTCAGTTGAGCATCTTTCCCCTCGTATACACGGAAGGCAAATGTGTAGCCACTTTCGCTCTCGCAAAGTTTGTACACTTTAATGCCATACCTAGACCGCTTTGAGGGGATATATTGTTTGAACCCTAATCTCCCTTTGTATTTCATAAGGGATTCATCGATGGATAAAGTTTGTTGGGGAGTATAAACTTCAGAAAATCTGTTCTGAAGATGGTCTACCAGTGGGCGTATTTTATAAAGCCTATCATATTCGGGGTGATCTCTGGGGTGACAGAGCGTATTGTCGTTAAAATGTAAGTATCTGAGCAGCAGCTCATATCTTGGTCTAGGCATTGTTTGGGAGAATATAGGAGTCGAACAAATTGGGTTGGTGCTCCAGTAAGACCGGATTGATGGCTTTTTTATTATCCCCATGAGCATGGTAAGAGCCCAGAATGTTTTAAGTTCAGGGACATCTGTGGGATGCCAAGCATGCTCCCTGACTGTATAGCTACCTGGATTGGTCTCAATAAATTGGCTAGCGTATAAATTAGTCTGGGAAGCAATCTCCTCCCAGATGGTATCCCCTAAAAATAACTCCATATATTGTATAGGGGAGAAGTCAACCACATTCACATTAATGCCTGCGTTGGCACTAAAAGGGGGGATGTTGGGCTCAGCTAACTGTGGAGGTACCCAGTCCTCCTCCACATTCAGCGTAGCAGGGGAAGCACAGCTTCTTTTAGCAGCTGGCTCACTCACAGATGACATGTCACTAGACGTGCCGCTAAACTGACCTGGGTCAAAATCGGACGCAGTGTCAGTGGCGTCAGAGTCTGACGCCAAGAAGGCATATGCCTCCTCCAAGCTGTACATGCGCTGCATGTTTCACACCAACAGACTAAACTAACAAAATACTAAACACAATATTTTTTTATTTTTTTTTAAAACACTAAAACAGACTAAAACAGACTAAAACAGTAATCCCTAAACTAACTCCTGTTAGAAGAATCTAATGGAGATTTGGGGGAAGGAAACTGACTGACTACGACAGGCTATGACAGACTATGACAGACTAAAACAGACTACGACAGACTAAAACAGACTAAAACAGACTAAAACAGACTAGACAGACTACGACAGTCTAAGACAGTCTAAGACAGTCTAAGACAGTCTAAGACACAGATTTTTTAAAATAAAGTTAACCCTTAAGGGCAAAAAAAAAATACAGACAGTAAAAATGCACTGTCTGTAACAGATCTGGCAGGGAAGGGGTTAAAATAGGATTTTAATTAACTGAAGATACTTTTTATTTTTCACAGGAACAGCTGCTGCAACAAACTATCAGGATCTCTGTCTCTCTCCTCTCACAAAACGCTACAGAGAGGAGAGAGGCAGAGATCAGTGTCAAAGTGAGTGTTTGTAACACCCACTTTGACACCAGCCAATTGTGAGCGATCGCGGATCGCTCACACGCCGCAATTGGCTGTTACTATCTGCCTGGGATGCCGGGCAGATAGTAACAACGGGATTTCAGCGGAAGCGATCTCTGATCGCTCCCGCCGCCCGTTTTCCGTTAGGACGGTTCAGGACCGTCCTCGGTCGGCAACGCAAAAATGCCGAGGACGGTCCTGAACCGTCATGCGTCCTTAAGGGGTTAAAGGATCACTGTAGTCACTGTAACCATTTTTAATGTTTTATTGCTACACGAGAGACCTCAGCAGCCTATCCCTTCTGTGCTGCTTGGGATAATAAGGTTGCATTAGTCTGAGCAGCAATGTGTGGCTGTGAATGCCAGCCTATCACAGATACCTGTTGCTGGTATGAATTGGTATGGCTAAACAGAAGTGTGTGTTCCCTGCCTTAGCCACAGATCCAGTGTGGGATGAGCTATAGGAAGCCAGGGATCCTCATTCAGTGTTAAACTGTGTGAAAATGGCTTAATATTGATTGGAGGAACAGCGCCAGGGAACTGCAGGCTCTATAAACAATTGAATGAGATGAAATGGTTATAGTGCCTCCAGTGTCCCTTAAGGACACATGACCTGTCATGATTCTCTTTTATTCCAGAAGTTTGGTCCTTAAAGGGACACTCCAGGCACCTAGACCACTTCTGCCCATTGGAGTGGTCTGGGTGCCAACTCCCACTACTCTTAACCCTGCAAGTGTAATTATTGCAGTTTTTTTAATAAACTGCAATAATTACCTTGCAGGCAGGGTTAACTCCACCTCTAGTGGCTGTCTACTAGACAGCCACTAGAGGGCACTTCCTGGTCTAACGCTGTGTGAGGACCTCCAGCGTCGCTCATTTCCCCATAGGAAAGCATTGAAATAGCATGCGCATTAGGTCACCCCGGCCAATGGCCGGGATCAGTCTCGCCCACCGGCCGACGCAATGCAGAGGAGGAGGAGCGGCGGCGGAGGAGGAAGGGATTTTCACCCCTTCAGCAACTGGGGGGTTAGGAGGGAGAGGGGACCTGCAGTGCTAGGAAAAAGGATTGTTTTCCAGGCACTGGAGTTTCCCTTTAAGGGGTTAAGCCCCTCTCCTGATCTCATAAGGGGTGTTAAATATAGTGACACGCTCTCCCTATTCTAGTGATAGGAAAAGGGCTGTGGAGATAGAAGCACACACAGCAACATCTCTCTAGTTACGCTAGTAAAAGAATAGAAATACACTTGACCAGCATTGACCAACATTTTTTATTTTTTTTGGGGTGCAATTAATTTAGTAAATTAATGTAGTCCTGACCTTAACCAAGATTCTACAGCAATATTAAAAAAAAAAAAAAAAATGTTGAGCACATTCTGTTTGCTCATTTAGTTTAGCCTTTTTTTCTGGTCATGATGCCAAATGTTTCAACCTTCATCAAAGCCTTACTATAGGTTGTTCTGTTAAGCCATGGCAAAGAACAGCTGTTGCCCAGTCGAGGCAGGCTTGAGACATGTACTGCCTAAAGATTGATCCATGTCGGTTATGAACTCTGCGTTTAAAAACCTGTCTCCAGCTTTCACATCCTACAATCACCATCTAAGGTTGGGCAGAACCTCACTTGATAATGTAAAAGTTTTGTTTGCGACCTTTCATTGTGGCTGAAGATGGGACAGGGTGTCTGTGCCGAAGAGAGGTGTTTTTTATTTTGTCACTGTTAAGACTTAATTTTTAGCCAACAATTTATATCCAGTGATGGACGGAATTGATTTCCTAACGTGGAGAATTAAGTTCTACTTTAGCAATATGAAAGATAAGCGGAAGAACTGTGGACACCCAGGACCAGATTAATGTCAAGCCGACAAATGGTTTGACTATGTACCGTGAGGGCTACCAGCGGCCTCCAAGCACAGTACCAATTATAGTGCCTCTTTCAACAAAAAATCTTGACAATATCCTTCTTATCTGTATGTTTGTGTGTGCACGTTCTTCCATCTGATTTAATTTTATTTCATACCCACCAGTGTTTTCAAAGGTGGGAGAATAAGCCATTGTCAGAAAGTACAGTGACACTACTCACATTGTGTCGTTTTTTTCTTTTTTTTTTTTGTTTGTTTTTTTATAAAAGGTAATTTTTTTTTTTCTTTTGGAAACTATAGTAATTGTTTTGTGTATGTAAATATTTTGTCATATTTATTTTAGTGTAGAAGTTTTGTATATATATATATTATTTAAAAAAACTAAAACCTTTTATGACTCGAATTAAATTGTAGAGCATTGTGTGGTTTTTTTTGTTTGTTTTTTTTTTAAATCTCTGTTTTAGAAACCGGTGTCAGATTCTCTGTTTACTTCTTTCTAGGGAAACTGATGTTAAGGTTTTTTTTGTTTTTTTTTTCTTCCGGGACAGAAAGGAAGGAACAGTTCTGCGTTTTGTCATTTGAACTAGCTATTCTATTTTTACCTTGTCAACTTAATGACAAACTGTGCTAGAGTGAAAGAGGGTTTGGCACACTTGTATTATTCTGGATTTACTCAGTTGTGGTGAAATGCTTCTAAGAAGTTACAAAGAAATCACTAGTCAGTGTGTGTGTGTATGAAGGTGAGCTGAACATATTGATTGGCAGTGACCATTGGTACACAGTACAATGCATATTTCACTTTTAGTTATTGGGATGGTAATACAGCATAACTGTCACTAGAGAGTTTTGAATATAGATAGAACAAGCTTTATTAAAAATGCCTAGTATGTGTTCACCCCTCCTCCCCCCCACCCCCCTATATACAGCTTCTGGTAGGACTCAACATGCTTATCTGCTTATAAGGGATTACCATTTAAGGCTATGTTTGATACCATCTTGTATAATTGATGCTGGTGTAATTTTACAGGAACACTCAGAGAACTTTAACAAAATCAGAAGAAAGGTGTTCTGGTGCGAGGAGGTCCCAAGCGCGCTGGCTTACCTTCAGGTTTTAAACCATTAACAAGCAGTTTAAGTCTTGAGTCCAGCACTTGGTTTATATACCCAACTATTTCCATTTGAGCTTGAGGCTTCAATCAGGAACCTCTTTTATTTCATTTTGTGATTAAGGTATAAAAGGGTCTTTGCCCGGTCCACGGCTTTTTAGTGGAAGCCCTGGACTCACATGGAAGAAGCTGGTCAGACCAAAAGGGCACTGGACTGAGGACTTTGCGGTAAACCATTCGTTAATGGTTTAACACCTGAAGGTAAGCTGGTGCCTGGGACATCTTGGCACCATAACAACTTTACTGGGATTAAGTTGTTCTTGTGCTTGGAGTGTTTCTTTAATGCATTTATATGAGATGGCTTTGCTAATCTTTAGCACTTTAGCTGGAAGTTTTCACTAGTCTCAGTTTTCATTTGGGGTTCTAAAGACACTTTGTTTTATTTATTTGTTTTGTGTGTGTGTGTGTGTGTGTGTGTGTGTGTATGTGTAACTGAATGCATAATAATCCAGTAGGACTCCAGTGCTTTTCGAAATAGGCTGCCAGGTGTTGCAGGTACAGATGACAACATCAGAAATAGCTGGTCTGTAGTTAACTTCAAAAAAAAAAAAAAAGCTCATAAATTTGTTTTATTGTGTGTACAAGCTCTGGCCGGAAAACATCCAGCCATTTTTTTTAAATACAGAGAAAGGTCTGCGCAACATGAATGTAACCTGACAGCCAAGGAGAGTGGACTGGAATGCGCATGCGTAACAATGGCTAGTTCACTGTGGCCGTCACATTCAAAATGACTAAGTTAGTAGAGCTTCAAAGATGGTAGAGAATCTGTTGAAAGATTTGGCTTCATGACACTTCTGGCTTTTCCCCAAACTATAATCACCTTCAAAAAGGAAGAGATTTCAGACCGTCAATGAGATTCAGGTGAATAAAACGAGGTAGTTGGCGATTCCAACAAAGGATTTTGCAGAGAGTTTTGAACAGTGGTAGAGATGCTGGGAGAACTGGGTGAGGTCCCAAGGTGCTTACTTTGAAGCATTGTTGTCCTATGTACAATGTTTCTCGTATCTTGAGTTAATAAATGTCTCTATTTTTCATATTACACAGCTGGATACTTTCCGGGCAGATCTCGTATAGGTTTATAACATACCTAAACAATCTACGAGATCCTGCACTTGACAAATCACCAGTGTAAAGACCAGAAAGCAATCTCACAACCAAAAATGTAGTAAGAAGAGCGCACTCAACCAGATCTATGCTCAAGAAAATAAGTGCTTTTAGTCACATGGGAGAATCAACATTTCAGCCGTATGTGCTTTTAGACATAGTTAAGGAGCAAGGAATCTGTATGTGCAGAGCTTCAACTAGACACGCTACTGATACAGAGGTATCTGCAATTTTTCTGCTGGGATCAAGTTACATGACTGGCACACGTGACAGACAGCAGTCGAAACTCTAACCTAATCATGTTAGAATCACTGCCTCCTCCTCAGACCATACGCGCATGCATGCGCACACAGATGACACAGATTGAGGCTTCTAAATGAGGCTATTTCCTTATGAAGACATGGTCTGCACCTTTTGTAAGCTCTTTTAAAATATAATCACAGTGATTACATACATAAATGCATGTATTCATTGAGGGGTATATATTCTAAACAGTAGTTTTTAGTTTACATTTGCTTTTTTTTCCACTTTCAGTGTGGACCACTCCACACCACCTTTTAAACTTCTCCAATTATTTACACATTTAGTATTGCAAAAATTAAAGATTTTAAAAAAAAATTGTATTTGTGTTGATGCAATAAATGAGAGAGATGGAAATTGCGGTTGAATACACACACAGCAAATAATTGCTTTGGTCCTTATGTACAAAACAAACTGAAGCTGGATCCTTAAGGGGTTAAAGATGCTTTATACATCAGTATTGCATGTCGTGGGTTTTAATTTTGAAATATGTCCTTCAGGAGAACCAAAATCTACATTTATATTGTTCCCCTTTTTAGTACTCTGCATTGTTCTATATGAATATAATACCTGAGCCTATTAGTTTCAGCATTGTTGGACCCAAATTAAATATAAACACTGCCAGGACTGCTATTTTCAACAGTCTTATTGTTGGCAACCCAAATAAACAGCAATTTATGCAAGAATTGTATCTTTGAAGCTCCTTTAATTGGGATATATCTACTAAACAGTGATTTTTTTTAAATAGGTTTTTGTGGAATGTTCCTTTAATTATATAATGCTTACGCTCTAAATGCTGTTACTCCTTGTGGGGGTTGTCGCACATGGAAGTTCCTGTCCCTGTCTACTTTGATCATGTTTATTTTTGCTGCAGTTACTTGCAGTTATATATACACCCTATCACAGCTTCCTTGTGTCCCCTCTAATTAAATCGTAGCACAACTGCTCTCCCACTATAATTAAATCAATACCACCTGCAACCTGAAAAATTTCTCGAAACCAAGCCGTATCACAGGGTAATCAGTGTGTTAAAGCTCACCTATCCGAATCCTGTGAATAACTCCTTCATTTTACATCTCTGGTCCAAGAGACACACCGCTAAGAGTGTAGAGCACAGTATTACAATATCTTTAGCTTGACATTATTAAAGGGGGAAAAAAAAGCATTTTTGTTTTTGAATAATCTTTGCAGAAAATAATCTATAAATAATTATCACTTTTTTTTTAGCGTCGCAACATTTTTTTTTTATTATTATTTTTTTATTTTTTTTTACACCTATAGAACCAAATTTATTTTATTTTTTTTAATTATATCCTGCACTTTATGTAAAATAACCGTGTCTGTTTTACGGGTCTGGAGTGTCCCTTTAAGCTCACTTCTCCTGACACACAACCCCTTCTGCATCTTCCTGTCACACAGTGTAATCAAGGGATGGCCATAAGGAAAATCTGCAGCTGTTAGAGAAGTAAAACATCTATTAACATATCTTTGCCTATTTCTATATATTATACACAAGAAGAGAAGACTTAAACTCAGCTCTTGATACAGTAGTAAATCAATCTGGGGCAAGAAACATCCAGAATGTAAGTGATTTTGATGTTTTGTGTGTGTTTTAATTGTCATTTGTTTCCAGTTTAGTGTGGATTTTTTTTTTTTTGTGTCCTTCTTCAGTTATTACTGCTCAGGACTCGGATATTGTAGCGGATGGCACTGGGCTGTCCTGCAAATGTCTTGTGAATAACTGCATTCGTGTGATTTGCTAGTTTTATATGTGTTTAAAAGAATTGTATTCCTCTGATTGTTCGGTAGAATCATTCGAATAAACTAAGGGAATGAAACTACCGAACAATCAGACCTCCCCTGTGTTAAGTGTGACCTCAATTACCCGTTGCAACATTGTTGCGAACGGGTAATTGACAAGTTAAGTAGCCGTCCTTTGTTCTCGGGGGTGGCCGCCATTCGACAAACGAACGCGTGGCGGCGGCCATTTTAAAACTCCTGAACAGCGGTGTTTTGCCGTCGAGTGTCTGGAACTCAAATCGGACACTCGACTAGGCGAACACCGCTGAAACCTCCACAAGCCCGGTCCGTTCGGTTCCAAACTACCGAACGGCCCCTCGTTCGGTAGATAGAAAGAACCGAACGAAGGGATTCAGGCGAACCCTCCCTAGCCTCTATAGCTAGAGGCTTTCGTGCAGTTTGTTCCCTTATTCCAGGACCGACCGCAGGGCCCATTCGCATGGAACCGCATTCGGCTATTTCAGTCAGTGCGGTCGGTCATTTTATTCCCTCCATAAATTTCCCGAACCCCTGGTCTGATCTGGGTGATTTTTGGATATGTTGTTCACCCAGATCAGGACTATCAGGGGATGTAGGATTTAAAGGGGTACCCCTACGTTTATGGGTACATTCAGAAGTGGGGGGAATTGCTAGACTGGATAAGGGGATTATGATGTTGGCTGAGGGGAGGAGATGTGTGGGAGGTTACCAGGACAGGATTGGCTACTGTACTAATGATTGTAAATCCCTCCCTTGCATGGGAGCATGCTTTAAAAGGACACTATGGATTAAAAGATTTCAGTTCTGCTCCTGAAACTGTGTGTCGTCCAGTTATTGGGATTGCTGTGGGATATTGCTGTTATTTTACCTGCTGGAAACCTTATCTGTGGATTTACTATTTACTTGTTCCTGAGCCTCACTTGGAGTATAAGCGGAGATAACCTGGGAAATATTGCATCTCCGCTACAGATATGTTACAAAGAAAACCTATAGTTTTTCCTTATCCGACCGACCCTGACCATAAGGGAAGTCTACAAATGAAATGCTAGCAAGTTCCTTTGCAAAAGAGATGCAACAACCCCGAATAATCATTCCAGCCTTCTCTGGGCCTCGTCAGCGAGGTGTACCCGATACCTCTCTAGGTAGAGAGAGCATGGGATCCACATCTCGATTACCCTTTTAACTTGGGGAGACCTTAACTAAACGCATTGCAACAAATACAGAGAATTTGAGAACAAGCAAATATTTTCAGGAACTTCTTGCACCATTACAAAGAGAACCTATGCCTCTAGTTCAGAGGTAGCTTGCCAGCATTTCTGATCTGGACTGCCCTTATGGTTGAGTTCAGTCAGATATGTAAATGGTATAGGTTGTCTCTGTTATGGCCTTAATGAGCAAAAGCATTTTTGAGACCTGAGATGGTATTAACTGAAGGTCTAGCTATTGAGATTTGAATCTTAATAATGTGATTTAATTATTTTCTTTCTATTATGATTTATCTATGATCAATATATAAAATTAAGAAGAAAACTAAAAACAGTACATTTTATAAAATAATCCGATAAGGAATGGGTGTTGTGCTAATTCAACTACATCATATAGCATCTGTCATTGGACCTTAAAGGGACACTGTAGGCACCCAGGCCACTTCAGCTAATTGAAGTAGTCTGGGTGCTGTGCCCCTTTTGCACTTAGTGCTGCAGTGTAAAACATTTGCAGTTCCAGAGAACTGCAATGTTTACATTGCGCCTCTAAGTCTGCCCTCTGTGGCGGTCTGTCACACAGCCACTAGAGGGCTTCCAGAATCCAAACTGACTTTTGGTCCGTTATCTGACGCTGGAGGTTCTCACAGACCACCAGCGTCTGATTTTCCCCATAGGAAAGCATTGAATAATGCTTCCATATGGGGAGGTCTAACGAATGCGTGCGGCAATTGCGGGCGGAGCCTGACCCAGCGCCAAAGGACATCGGCGCTGGATTCAGGTAAGTGGCTGAAGGGGTGGCCCATAGGGAGGGGGGTGGGGGGGACATATGAACTCTATAGTGCCAGGAAAACTACTTTGTTTCCCTGGCACTATAGGATCCATTTAAAGAGAAAATGTCACTTTCTAGGATTTTTTATGTTAATGTTTACTTATTCCTTTAAACAATGTGTTTTGTGAGGTTTAAAAGAAAAAAATTAACTCCGATGTAGAAATTCACACCTCTTTATCCTGCTACTGGATGCCTCCATTTTGTCTCCCTGTCAATTATTGTTATATACTCTATCCTTTGCACCTGGCAGTTGGCAATGATAAAACAAAGAGAGAGAGAAATGTTTTAGCTCTTCGTTTGCAATGCTTGCCCAGGCTCGAATTGTTATGTAATTTGCTAAACATTTAAAAGAAAACAAAGCAGCTCATGAAAAATGTCTAGCACAGTTCATAGGTGACTTTCTATGTTTTTATTCAATGGTGTGCTTTTCAGAGAAGTGAGAATTCCACTTTAAAAGGTCAAATGCATGTTTTGCATACCTTTTATTTGTAAATTGCATATTTCTAATTTAATTGCTTAAGGGAGTGTGCATTGAATGGCCAGTAGAATGCCCTTTTTTTGTATTTTTAAGCATGATAAAGCTATTTATATCTCTGCTTATCTGGAGAACTGTGTCAATCTTTCCTAGGTAAAACACATGCGCATTTGTTAAACTTATGTCTACTTAATGAATAGTTTATAGGTCACTTCCTTTTTTGTATTTGGTTGTCCTTGTGATGGAATATCTTTGTGTAAATTAAAAAAAAAAATAACTTGCATATGTTTCTCGACTCGTCCCATATGTATCTTCATCTACTATCTATTGCTCATATCCTGAGTCTGTAATGGGTGCAAGGTACCACTTACCCTGCTGGCAGAGCGATCCTTTGGATAAGGATGTTGGGATATGGAGTATTTTCTACCCTGCTCCGGAACAGTTTTCAACCTGATAAAAAAAAAAAAAGGACTCCCCTACGCCTCCCGATTCCACCTGAATTCACAGCCACTTAGCAACCCTAGATGTACAAAAACCAAGAGATAAGTCAACACCAATTAACACACAAAATACCTGAAGGCAGCAACCAAAAAAAAGGGGATCCCTCAAGACCAGCATTTCCCAAACCAGTCCTCAAGACCCACCAACAGTCCAGGTTTTGTTAGTATCTCCATTGGAATAAAACAGGGAAATACATAAATCCTGGACTGTTGGTGGGCCATGGGGACTGGTTTGGGAACCACTGCTCAAGACCCTTAAAACTAATATAAAACAAGACAAGGAAAGGTTGCACCAAAGATTAAAAAAAATATAAATAAATAAATATATATATAATCAATAGTAGAGATTGTCCTAGTAAGAGATCCTCTTGTATAGGTGATTCATGTAATAGATGAATCAATATAAAGTACTTGATAGAAAAATAAAAGATCCTCAGTTGAAACAATGAGTCAATTAATCTGAGCGCTCCGAATCCATATATAAAATACAAAAAAACGGAGAACAGCGGATAGTGCAATAAATGTGATTAGAGAAATGTTATAAGTAGAAATAATGGTAGTACACTCACATTTATGCGAGCTATAGCCAGCTCTAGCGTAATAGGTGTACAACGGTATAATCCCCACTTATAGGATATGCAGCAAGAGTCCACCTCAGGAGCGATATCCAAAAATCCACTCTTGGTCGGAGGGGGCATTAGCTAACTCTGCCACCCACTGTGTTGGGCAACTAAATGGCTTTTCTGGGATGGAATCCATCAGGCCCGGTAGCATAAATATAATTTTAAGTTTCACTGGAGAACATTCTCTGAAGGCCTTCAGAATGAGGGCTGCGGGAGCTCAGCAGAGTTGCACACTTTTGCGGAGATGATGCTCTTAATTTGTAAATACTGGAAGATGAGTTAGGCAATGTATATTTGTTCTGGGAAGAATAATATAGTACCTTGGGTACAAAGACCTCACATCGAGGAAATAACTGATTTTTAACCAGTAAGTCACCGGGGACCTGACCCTTTTGGTGCAGGAAGCTTCTCCACTGCCTCCACAATAGAGGCTCTAAAGTATAGTAGGAGGTTGGGGAAACCCAGTCCACCTCTATGATTCTTGTACAGGGCCTTGTGATTCCTAGTTAGCCCCTGGATGGATTAGTAAGGCATGGTAACACCCTATTCAGTGCAGAGTATTGGGTAGTTCTCTCATCATATTTACCAAGAGTATAGGAATAGCAAAAAGAGGAAATCAAATTGCTGCAACCAGGAGATAGATACTAACACTTACAATTTTTAAATGGGTATATTCAAAACCTCAATATTTGAATCAAAAGTTTGCAGAAGTGGGAAGTCTGCTGTAATGGTAACAGTTACAGCTTCAGTATGCACAAACCAAGTGAATATGAATATATATATATATTGTATCAAGTGAAGGAAATGATGATGATATCAGTCCTTAATATGTTTGAGAAACCATAAACAAGCAGAACAGTCCTAAGGAGTCTTTTGAACTGTATGCTCCTGTTTATGTACGGCTGAAATCCCTTCTATTGAGGCAGCAGGGAAAACTAGCCAATGGGAGCACAATATTACTCTAGTAACACACTCATAATATCATTAATAGTATGGTACATAAATGATTTTGCAATCCACTGTGTGAAAAAATGTCGATGTAGAAATGTGTAATAACCTTTGCTACATATAAATCTAGTTCGTAACCAGCAATGCTATCCATCCAACACCAGCCGTTAGTCTTTATAGTATAAAGTGCAGAAGCATATCTTTCATCAAAAAAAATGTATTTTATAAAAATGTGTGTGTGTGTGTGTGTGTATATATGTGTTTATGTGTATATATATATTAAAACCAAAGTCTTTTACAGACGGCACAAAAGTGTGGGAACCTTTTTCCGGAGTCTCACCACCCGCAGCCTTGGTACTCTGCTGTTGCTGACTTACAGAAGCCGGCTTGCAGACAGCTTCAGAGTCCTGTGTGTTGAGTGACTGAAGGGGAGATTCGCTGCATGCGTTCCACTTTGGTTCACTTTGCGTTCCAATCTGTGTTGGTGTATCGGTAAGATTATACTGTAAAGACCAACGGCTGGTGTTGGATGGACAGCATTGCTGGTTACTAACTAGATTTATATGTAGAAAAGTTTATTACACATTTCTACATTGACATTTTTTCACATAGTGGATTGCAATATCATTTATATGTACCATACTATTAATGATATTATGAGTGTGTTACTAGAGTAATATTGTGCTCTCATTGGCTAGTTTTCCCTGCTGCCTCAATAGAAGGGATTTCAGCTGTACATAAACAGGAGCATACAGTTCGAAAGACTCATTAGGACTGTTCTGCTTGTTTATGGTTTCTCAAACATATTAAGGAATGATATCATCATCATTTCCTTCACTTGTTGATACAATTTATATATATATATATATATATATATATATATATATATATATATTCACTTGGTTTGTGCATACTGAATTACTGTTACATTGTTTAGCAGACTTGCTACTTCTGCAAACGTTTGATTAAAATATTGAGGTTTTGAATATACCCATTTAAAAATTGTAAGTGTTAGTAACTATCTCCTGGTTGCAGCTATTTGATTTCCTCTTTGCTATTCCTATTCTCTATTTCATTTTTTTCAGCCTAAGGTGTGGGTTGATCTACTGGGATTTGAGGAGTTACACACTTTTCTTGAGACCACTACCTAAACCTTCCTATCTATCCGAAAGGAAGTAATTCCTTTTTGGTGACTCTTTATTTTAATATTTACCAAGAGTGCCTCTATCAGTGGATGGCACTGTATTAATAATGCTGGGGACAATTACCGCTAACATAGATATGCAATGTGAAGCAAGCTCCCGTGCTGTGGCCTTTTGGCAAAGAGTGAAGGCCAGCCTTATGCTCACAGACTATGGGCCTAGTCCCAAGATCCACTACAAACAGCTGTTTTGACTAGGGGAAATGGGGTATTGAAACCGCCTAGTTGCCTACTCTGCCTCCCAGACGGAATTGGGGACCTCTGGGTATTGCCTGTGCCCATCCTGCACATTGAGCATCTGATCGGGAGATGCCCTGAAACGCTGTGGAACGGTTTGCCAGATTGGGGCTGTGATATGTTCCCCCGGCCACCAATCAGGCTATTTAGGCAGAGGTATCCAGGGAGATATAACATGCAGGGCTACTGGCCTTCTCAGAGCCCCAGGAACCCAGTTTTGTAAGTTCGGGACAAAGCAGCCGCACACCTTGAAATCTGAGCTGGAGCCGAAAATAACTGTGATCCTGTCAAACTTTTAACACTCTTACTCTGTGCGGATTGTCTATTTGGCCAGCGTGGGCACTAGAGGGTGATGTCCAGTAAAAGGGTTTGGGTAGGCAAGGCAGGGAGTCTACCTCGTTAATTGGGGATGTCGCAACCAAGACCCCAAACAGTGGTGCCGTGGTGGGGCAACTGTAAGGGCATTATAGTTTATGGAGGACCCCTTGATGTGTGAATTCACATTTCTGTGTATAAATAGCGGTTTGTGTTTTAAAGCTGCATTCTACTCCCCTACATTCAATCTCGGCTAATGTGTGGAGGAAAAGATATCTATAACCACTGCTTGACAGGAGAAAGGGTCTTCAGAGCTGCAGAGAGCTATAACCACTGCAGACTGGTCCAGGGTGGAAGTGGTGTACAGAGACCCCAGTCAGGCTTCGTCGACTGGTTCTGAAGCTCTCCAGGGTCCCCTGATAGCAGCTAGGAGGCAAACTTGGCGGAGGTACTCACTCGAAGTACAGTGGCTCCGTTACATGCGGCTTAAAGGGACACTCCAGTGCCAGGAAAACATAGTTTTCCTGGCACTGCAGGTCCCCTCTCCCTCTCACCCCCCATCCCATGTTGCTGAAGGGGTGAAAACCCCTTCAGTGACTTACCTGAGACCACCGCTGATGTCGCTCCACCCACACTCCTCCCCCGCCAACGTAAGCCGGTGGGGGAGACTGATTGCGCATGCGCATCCGCCGGCGGGATGAGACCTAATGCGTATGTGCGGCATTGGCAAGTCATGTTATAAAAACACACAAACATAAGCCCTGTGCTCAAACTCATTGCTGCTACCCACGAGTGGACATCACGAGAGGTTTCTGTAGATTAAGTGTAATGTTTTCATTATGATTCAAGCATTCCAAACAAAGCTGATTTACACGTTTCCTTTGATGAATTTGGCTTGATTTTTTTTTGATTTTTTTTTTTATATTTATTTTTTTGACAATTTATATTAAAAATATAGCTAGCTCTTTAAGTCTGTGATATGTCATCCATACATGAAAAACAAGATATAAAGCTCTTTTTGCAGCATCAATCATCGTTTAGTGTTTGCAGCCCGATGTTGTGGACTACATGTTTCGTCATGCTTTGCCAGCATTATCGATGTAGGAAAGTTATGGGAAATGTACTTCATAATATATGGAGTGCCAAAGGATTCCTACCCATGGTCTAGCTTTTTGTTTCCTCTATTAGAAAAATACCATCTATGGAACCTAAAGGCATGTTCTGATAAAATTCAGTGTACCCTTGAAAGAAACACATTTGTAAAAATACGAAAATGTAAAAACTAAATTATGGATATTTTCCATCTGCCCCCTCCATATACTATTACAATGTAGATGTAGACTGTGTAACTATATTGATTAAATTGATTAGCACTTGGACATCACAAACCCTTAGAACACTCTCTCACTAGGCTGTAATGTAAACACTGCATTTTCTCTGAAAAGGCAGTGTTTACAGCAAGAAGCCTGAAGGTAATGATTCTACTCACCAGAAAAAATTCAATAAGCTGTAGTTGTTCTGGTGATTATAGTGTCCCTTTAAGCTCATTGAAGCTAAACTCAAGAAACAGGTAATTACCTAGAGCACTTGCCTTGTTAAAAACTTCTCATTGTGAAGTCTTTGATTGGACAGCCACAGAAAGTCTTGGCTGGAGAAAAGTAGGGGGCTGTTTTGGGGTATACACCCAATGAAAAAATAACAAATTCATGTTTTAATTGGGGGCTATAGCTACTAAACCATGATTTTTAATTCATATTTGGGTAGTGGACTTTGCCGTTAACATTGATTCAGAGGGATGTTTGCTTTCTTGTTGACTTTTTCAGTGTATAAGTATGCAATGTGCTTTTATATTCTAGAAGTTTGCATTAATGGACCAGTTTTTGTTATTTTTACCATTTATGTGTTTTTTATTGAGGAGGAATCTTTTGAGTTCAGATGCACAAAGCTAAGATTGTAGTAGCAAGCTGCACAGATTCTTATGCTGAATGTTTTCTCGTTCATGCTATAAAGCCCTGACAAATAGCAGGATATCTCAACAGAGGCCCTATTTGTGAGGGGCTGCTCAGCCTGCAAGTTATATGCATACACCATTCACAAATGGGGAGATTATGTGTAGAAAGCAATACACGGGCATACTTCTTAAAAAGTGGAGCAATTGGGAGGAATACTACATAATTTTCACAGTGAGTTCTGCAGGCAGATTTAGGCAGGACCGTCACGATTTTGGAGTTTCTTTCCCACCCATCCCAATTTAGTTAGCTGGTGTCCCACATCTTGTACCCCAAGGGTATGATCCTCAGGAGATACAGTGTGAGAGCAACTTTGGATGGATTGTGGGCTGTCCAGGCATCACCGGTGTTGCAAGTCTTGTCACTGGTGACACCTTTTCTTAGAACTGTCCCATCCCAAACTCATATGTCACCATGTTGGGAGATATGTTTCTCCTTTTTTAGATCTTTTACTCAGAACTACCCACTTTATTAAAGTTTTATTTAACCATTAGTCAGCTAGTCCTTTAGTGTTTGTAGTTTTTTGGATTTCATCATACAAAGATGAAATTACGTTGAAAAAGCAGACTGCGTTGCAGTTCCCATTTTTTGTTTTTTTGTTTTTTTGTAAATGTCTTCAAGTAATCACTATAGAAAAATATAAGATGATTGATTACCTAATGGTTGCGTTTATACATAATTGTGCAATAGATGTTACATTATGTACCTTGTCTCATTAATAACCTTTTTTGGATGTATAATTTTTATATATATCTATTTATTTTTTATTTATTTTTTATTCTGCAGTTTAACTTGGCTATTTCGCCCAGCTGATACAAAGTCCAAATATGGCAGTCAATAAACCTAAAGGGCAGAATTCTCTGGCGTTGCACAAAGTTATTATGGTAGGCAGTGGTGGTGTGGGAAAATCAGCCCTGACCCTCCAATTTATGTATGATGAGGTAAGAACTTTTTTATATATATATTTTTTTTTTATACTTGAATTGTGTGGTTAATGTAAAAATGATTTATAGAAAATATTGTGCACACATATGTAAATCCAGTTAATATCTTTAATTATGGTTTGATGTATGTCAATATCTATCTTAGGCAGCACAATATTCTAATTTAGGCCAGTGAGTAACATGCATATTTAGTGTTTTATTATTTAGCTCCCCTAGATGTTAAAAATAACCGTAATTTCAGATGATTTTGTACACACAGAAAAAGGTATGGAAAATTAAAAAAAATATAGTAATTGCTTTGATGTTTGCTTATGTTTAACAAATGTATCCATTGGACCAATTTGGAATATTGAACCTTTTAATAGGTTGACATTTAGTTCTAAATATTCGAATGATATCTCTTTCACTTTTTTTTTTACAAATGAAGCAATACTGACTATTTTAAAGAGGCTTTATCACTTACTGGGGTGTATACATATTTTACAAAGACCCTCGATGGTGGCATTGCCACTTGGTGAGCGGTGGCCCAGGAGTGCATCAGCAGATAAATATATATATAGCAGGGAGAGAAGGGGAAAATATATCATGTAGTATGTCACTGTCCAAATAAATAGAATAAAACAAAAGAAATACACTCACAATTTCCTGGAGCTAAAATTGTAGCTCCAACCTTAACGCCTGGGTGGAACAATCCCCACCTGTGGATATAGTGTGGTTCTTGGTGGTTGCAGTCACTCAAATGGTGGAAACATAAGCGCCTCTGCGGATATGGGCTTAGGATATTTTAATGTAGTGCCCACTTGTAAGTATAGATGATGGTCTTTTCCATTTGATGGAGCAGATGTGGACTGCTCTATTCCCTCAGGCTTGGGTGGTACAATCCCCACCACGGATACGGCAGTTCAAGCAGAATAGCTTGAACTACCGTATCCATAACTTTTTAGATAAATATAATTATCTAATGCTGCCACCTGCAGGCAATGGCATCTTCTCTCTTCAGCTCCTGGCAATTCATCTGCAATACAGAAAAAAGGATTAGCGCTCTCTATCTAAACAACGCACAACAAAAAATAAATAAAAGGGTGGCAGCACACCTAAAATAGGGCTCCCTCACAGGCCCTATAACATAAATCACATATGACTATCACATATGACAAGCTGGAGAAGTAGAAAATATATACACAATAGCTAAAAATTCTATGAGATGGATAAATCCAAAATGGAAACCTGTCCGTGGAGGATGATACAGTCTTGATAGTAGGTGTATTCCTGAATGTGGTATAAATAAATCCTTGAAGTTCATATGAAATGTATAAAGATAACTAATGCTGCAGTTTTTCACAAATAAGGGCTAAATACAGTATAGAGAATCTATATGGTCCTACTTACGTTTGATAGCTATCTGCTTAGCTCTAGTGTTAATAGCGTACAGTGGTACAATCCCCACTTATAGGGTACGTGAGGTCTATGTGTAGTCTTGCTTGATGTAGGAACTATATAAAAAATAAAAGCGACAGCAATAGTGCTTAAAGTATAAAACCCAGAGGTGAGATGATAAAATAACAAGTGGTTACTCACATTTGGTTGAGCAGACTAACTGCTCAATGAATACAGCTCGAGTGGTATAATTCCCACCTAGGATTCTTTGGAGTAAAATTCCTCACTGGAAAGTTAACGTCTGGTACCAGGTAAAAAGGATAGTGATAATGGCAATAAAACTAGTATATTAAAAAAAGTAAAAAGGCTAACTCGTAAACAGAAAGTGGCCAAAATACCTTTATTTAAAAATACTGTTATATTAAAAACCAGAACGCGTTTCGCCCTTAGGCTTTTTCAAGTGGAGTGGTCTAATTTTTTTATTAAAGGTATTTTACGTGATTATTAGAGCAACGCTCTGGAAAAAAAACTGCACTCACAAGAGGAAGAGAGACACGGTCTGTACCCTGCAGAGGTACAGACCAAATAATCTGCCGGCTGGACCACCAGGGATCTGTGTGCGGTGTACCCTCTCTCACTGGAGGTATCTGCATGCTCCCTCTCCCCCCTGCAAGGTTATAAGGGGAGTAAATGTGTTTGTTTTTTTTTGTTTTTTTTATTATTATTATTAAATTATTTAAGCCCATATCCAACCACTATATACACATTCCCTTAAATACTTAACACACAAACACACTACACACACTTTATACCCCTATATACACACTGTACCCCCTGCACTACCATACTGCACTTTATCCCTATATACACAATGCACCCCCTGCACTAACACACTACACACACTTTATCCCTATATACACAATGCACCCCCTGCACTAACATACAAACACACTACACACACTCTATACAACTATATACATACTGCACTCCCTGCACAAACACACTACACACACATTTACTTTGTTTAAGAGCACTGAATGCTCTGGAGGAGCGTCACGTTAACATACTCATTTGGCGGTGGGGGGCGTGCGTGTCAGTGGTGGTGATGCTACACGCCCCCTTTCTTGCTTTTCTGCCTTTAATTGCCCAGGCTGAATTTTTGTCGCAGTCCGGCCCTGTACACACATACTACTGTACCTATTCCCTACAATGGCCCCTATCCTGGCAGACCCCATGTAAGTTGTCAAACTGTTCTTAAATAGTTTGACAACGTACCCTGGGAAGGCACCACGGCACTACTGGAACCATACCACTACAGAGTGCTTTCGTGGTTATTGTGCCTGCATTGTTTCTTTAAATAATCTACCAGTGCCCCTCCTGAGATTAGGTTCTGGATCCGCCCTTGACAGGAAAACATTACTGCTGAACATGGGCCCTGTATATGATGCAGCCATCTACATGTATACAACCTAGACATTTCTCTGACTTTGGGCGCCTTGGAAAACTATTGAAATATTAAGGACGCCCTGAACCTAAAAAGTTTGGGAATCACTGGTTTACAGGAAATTAATAGGAAAGAAGAGATGATGAGATAAGGATTGCATTGGGTTTCTGTTATGGGAGGGTGAATACAGTAGGTTTGGAGGAAGATTAAATCCAGAAAAATGTAATTTAGACTAGAGATTTTAAATCGATTCAGTGATTTCTAATGTCAAGTGGCAGTTTGCCTGTTAGAGTATCCAAGGTAAGATGCTGCAGCATTAGTCTCTGTGAAGAATGATTTTCTACTGATTAGACTCCCATGTAAGTGTAAATGTTTGCAAAGTAATAACTGTAGAATTGTGAGTGTACTGTGCACTGCTCTTATCCACTGAGGATGCTTTAGGAGCTCTAGAGCAAAGAGTCAAGTCCTGGGGAAAAAGTGTGGGAACTCAACCAAGATCCATCCCATCCCCCACCCATCCACCCAAAAGCATCTTTACCTGTGTGTCTCTTAACCCGCCTTTTGTTTCTTATCCCTTTTTTTTTTTTAAATGTCTTACCCCCTTTGGTGCATTTTATCCCCTATTTTTTACCATTGTGTGTCTTACTCCCCCAGCCCCTTTGTGTCTTTTACTCTTACCAGCTCCATTGTGTGTTTCTCTTTTACTACCAGCCCGTGTATCTCCTCCCAGCCCCTCTGTGTCCTTTTCACCCCCAGCCCCTTTGTCATTCCCCTCCCAGGCCCATCTGTGTGTCTTTCTCCCTCCTCATGTCCCTTTGTGTATCTTTCTCACCACTCAGGCCCCCGTGTGTGCCACTCTCCCCTCCATGTCCCTTAGTGCTGCTCTCTCCTCCCCTCCATGTCCCTTAGTGTTGCTCTCTCCTCCCCTCCATGTCCCTTAGTGTTGCTCTCTCCTCCCCTCCGTCTCCGTTAGTGTTGCTCTCTCCTCCCCTCCGTCTCCGTTAGTGTTGCTCTCTCCTCCCCTCCGTCTCCGTTAGTGTTGCTCTCTCCTCCCCTCCCTCTCCGTTAGTGTTGCTCTCTCCCCCTCCCTCTCTCCTCCCCTCCCCTCCGTTAGTGTTGCTCTCTCCTCCCTCCCCTCCGTTAGTGTTGCTCTCTCGTTACCTGTTACTCTCTCCTCTCCTCCCTCTCCGTTAGTGTTGCTCTCCCCTCTCCCCTTACCTGTCTTAGTGCCCCCCATTCCCATTAATGTTCCTCTCCCTTCTCTTTTAATGGTCCCCTCTACCCCAGTGTTCTTTCTCCCCCTCCCCCATAGTGATTGGTGCAGTGTTTTGCCGCGCGTGCGCATTAACCTCCCAATGCTTTCCTATGGCAGAAGCTGAGGTTATCAATTCTGAGGACGGGCACAGTGCTGGAATAAATGTAAATGTTAACCCTATTTAAGGGGAAATGGGGCAACAGCCACTTAACATTTTGTATTCCTGATCCTATGTTTCTTTAACTGTCCAAAGTGGATCTCTGCTTTCTATACTTTATTTGGGTTCTCTGGCCTTAAATTAGAAATTCACATTGAATTACTGCATGGGTAAATAATCCTTTTGTGTGTTTTTGTTCATTTTAACTTGATCCACTGGTCTCCTCGCTCATACTTTTTCAGGGTTATTCGCTAAAGTGAGAATTATCAGGATTTAAAGTGAATTTCAAATTTAAGGCCAAAATAGCCAGACTGAAATCAAAAGTAAAATTGTCAAATTGTTTTGTCTTGTTTGGCAAATCATTTGAAATTCACTTTGAATTCCTGGCAATTCTTGCTTTAGTGAATAACCCTGTTTTCACAAAGTATGCAGTGTTTAAAGGACCACTCTAGGCACCCAGACCACTTCAGCTTACGAAGTGGTCTGGGTGCCAGGTCCCTCTAGGATTAACCCTTTTTTTTTTTTTTTTTCAAAAATGCTATGTTTATAAATGGGTTAATCCAGCCTCCAAATCCTCTAGTGGCTGTCTAATTGACAGCCACTAGAGGCGCTTGCGTGCTTCTCACTGTGAAAATCACACTGAGAACACGCAAGCGTCCATAGGAAAGCATTGTAAATGCTTTCCTATGAGACCGGCTGAATGTGCGTGCAGCTCCTGCCGCGCATGCGCATTCAGCCGAAGAGGAGGATCGGAAGCGGAGAGGAGGAGAGCTTCCCGCCCGGCGCTGGAATAAAGGTAAGTTTAACCCCTTTCCTCGCCATCCAGCCCGGTGGGAGGGGGTCCCTGAGGGTGGGGGCACCCTCAGGGCACTATAGTGCCAGGAAAACAAGTATGTTTTCCTGGCACTATAGTGGTCCTTTACGTTATATACATTGTCATGTCTTTGTAAAGGCAGCAAATGCTTTACTAGCCGAGAATGAACTGTGAAAAGTTTGCACTCACTAGAGACTAGCTCGTTGGTAGGACACCTTCAGCACTCCAGATATTGTGAAGTTGGTCTAACACAATGCTCTTAAAGTCGTATTACTGACAAAACATTAGAGGAAATGTAGTCCACAACACCTGAAGTACTAAAGATTGACTAGACTATCTGGTGGATACCTAAACCACAAAGTGTAGTAAATTTTGGTTTTCAGTTCACTACAGTGCAGTGTTTACTGAATAAACCAATGTTGTCTATTAATTTTAGATGCGTTAATTGTTTATAGTGACCCTCCACTCGGTCTGGTATTTGCTGGTTTTACAATCACACAGACAGGACGTACAGGAAAAGCTGTAAAATGTACAGCTGAAAAATATACAATTAATTAATCATTGTGTGATTTTTTTTGATTTTTTTTTGTGTGTGTTTGTTTTTTTTGTTTTTTTGGGGGGGGGGATCGATAATGTATTTTTTTTAAAAAAATTGGGGTGCTTATCTGGAACAGGATATAACTAATTAAACTGCAATTATACATAACCAGGGTTTAAACATAGAAACATAGAATGTGACGGCAGATCAGAACCATTTGGCCCATCTAGTCTGCACAATTTTCTAAATACTTTCATTAGTCCCTGGCCTTATCTTATAGTTAGGATAGCCTTATGCCTATCCCACTAATGCTTAAACTCCTTTACTGTGTTTACCTCTACCACTTCAGCTGGAAGGCTATTCCATGCATCCACTACCCTCTCAGTAAAGTAATACTTCCTGATATTGTTTTTAAACCTTTGTCCCTCTAATTTAAGACTATATCCTCTTGTTGTGGTAGTTTTTCTTCTTTTAAATATAGTCTCCTCCTTTACTGTGTTGATTCCCTTTATATATTAAATGTTTCTATCATATCCCCCCTGTCTCGTCTTTTCTCCAAGCTATACATGTTAAGATCCTTTAACCTTTCCTGGTAAATTTTATCCTGCAATCCATGAACCAGTTTAGTAGCCCTTCTCTGAACTCTCTCTAAGGTATCAATATCCTTCTGAAGATACGGTCTCCAGTACTGCATACAATACTCCAAGTGAGGTCTCACCAGTGTTCTGTACAATGGCATGAGCACTTCCCTCTTTCTACTGCTAATACCTCTCCCTATACAACCAAGCATTCTGCTAGCATTTCCTGCTGCTTTATTACATTGTCTGCCTACCTTTAAGTCATCAGAAATAATCACCCCTAAATCCCTTTCCTCATATGTTGAGGTTAGGACTCTATCAAATATTCTGTACTCTGCCCTTGGGTTTTTACGTCCAAGATGCATTATCTTGCACTTATCCACATTAAATGTCAGTTGCCACAATTCTGACCATTTTTGTAGTTTACCTAAATCATTTGCCATTTGGCTTATCCCTCCTGGAACATCAACCCTGTTACATATCTTAGTATCATCAGCAAAAAGACATACCTTACCATCAAGACCTTCTGCAATATCACTAATAAAAATATTAAAGAGAATGGGTCCAAGTACAGATCCCTGAGGTACCCCACTGGTGACAAGTCCAAGCTTCGAATATATTCCATTAACTACAACCCTCTGTTGCCTGTCACTCAGCCACTGCCTTACCCATTCAACAATATTGGAATCCAAACTTAAAGATTGCAGTTTATTGATAAGCCTTCTATGTGCAACAGTGTCAAAAGCCTTACTGAAATCTAGGTAAGCAATGTCTACTGCACCACCCTGATCTATAATTTTAGTTACCCAATCAAAATAATCAATAAGATTAGTTTGGCATGATCTCCCTGAAGTAAACCAATGTTGTCTCTGATCTTGAAATCTATGTGTTTTTAGATGTTCAACAATCCTATCCTTTAACATGGTTTCCATCACTTTCCCCACTACTGATGTAAGGCTTACTGGCCTTTAGTTGCCTGACTCCTCCCTATTACCTTTCTTGTGAATGGGCACAACATTTGCTAACTTCCAATCTTCTGGGACTACTCCTGTTAACAATGATTGGTTGAATAAATCTGTTAATGGTTTTGCTAGTACACCACTAAGCTCTTTTAATAGCTTTGGGTGTATTCCATCAGGTCCCATTGACTTATTTGTCTTTACTTTTGACAGTTGATATAGAACCTCTTCCTCTGTAAACTCACATGTAATAAATGACTCATTTATCCTTTTTCTTAACTGAGGTCCCTTTCCTTCATTTTCATCTGTAAATACCGAACAAAAATATTCATTGAGGCAGTCAGCTAGACCTTTATCCTCTTCTACATACCTTCCTTCTTTTGGTTTTAATCTAACTAATCCTTGTTTTACTTTTCTTTTCTCATTTATGTATCTAAAAAAAGTTTTGTCCCAATCTTTTTACTAACTGTGCTATTTTCTCTTCTGTGTGTGATTTGGAAGCTCTTATAACTTGCTTAGCATCTTTCTGCCTAATCCTTTAGATCATTCTGTCTTCCTCACTCTGGTTTTTTTTATAATTACTAAATGCTAACTTTTTCTTTTTGTTTTTTACTATTTTGGCCACATCATTTGCTGAAATCTGCCATGCACATTAGCCAGATAATTAACATTTGATTTGAGTATTAGAGGGGCACTATAGACATCAGAAGTACTACAACCTCAGCAGTGTATTTTTGAGAAAAGGCAGATGTTACAGCATTGCCTTCTGCCACCTCTAGTGAAAGTTATTCTGACAAACAATAGAGGGAAATCCTGGATCTAGACCTGCAAAGATTGCAGGATTGACATTCAAAAAGCTCAGCGAGTCAATGGATCTCTGAAGAGAATCTGATTGGCACAGCAATCTGCAGCGCATGCGCCATAGTCTCCCAATTGGGACGCATTTTAGTTGACTGAGAGGATGAATGATCTAAGCTGGGTCGACAGGGAATCTGGATGGAGTCTAGCGTGACGGGGTAATAAATGTAAGTAAAATTTGTGTGGATGCCTAAATGAATAGAAAAGCTGGACTTTTATTTCTGCTGCTGAATACACTGGATTACAGTTCCAGGGTTTCTGCACTTTCAACTTATCCACAATGAGTGCTCCATATATATTGTATATACTGGATAAAGTACAACGAGTTATCATTAATGGTAAATTTTCAAGCTGGACAAAAGTAGTAAGTGGCGTCCCTCAGGGTTCTGTTTTTATTCTGCTTCTATTTAACATTTATAAATGATCTTGAAATATGCACTGAAAGTAATGTTTTAGTGTTTGCAGATGACACAAAACTTTGTAAAGTAATAAAATGTGAGCCTTATTTTGCTGCAGAAGGATTTAGATAGATTGGGGGACTGGGCACTAAAATGGCAGATGAAATTTGATGTAGAGATCTGCAGTTGCTAAGGCCAGTAAGGTATTTGCATGTATAAATAGAGGCATAAATTCTCGGGATGAAAATATAATTTTGCCTCTTTATCGCTGGTAAGACCACACCTTACATATGCTGTCAAATTTTGGGCGCCTGTTCTAAAGAAGGATATCATGGCACTAGAAAAAGTGCAGAGACAAGCTACAAAATTGATCAAAGGAATGGAGCATTTTAGTTACGGAGAAAAGTAAAAAAAATTAAATCTCTTTTTAGTTTGGGAAAAACGGGTCCTCAGAGGTGATATAACATTATACACATGTATTCGGGGCCAGTACAAACCATTATCTGGAAAGCTGTTCATAAACAGGGCTATACATAGGCTTAGACTAAATCTCCTTTCTTCCAGCCTTAATGTGTGACCTTGTGTCCTAAGGCAAAGAAAAGTGGGGGGGGGGGTTGTGTTTTTTTGTTTTGGTTTTACACAAACGACTACAATGATGTGGAATTCTCTGCCTGAAGAGGTGGTTTTATCAGTCCATACAGATGTTTAAACAGAAATTGGATAAATACTTCCAAAAACATAACATACAGGGATATAATTTCTAATTAGTGGGGTAATAGCTGCTTGATCCAAGGAGATATCGGACTGCCATTTTGGGGTCAAGAAGGAATTTTTTTCCTAGTTTGTTGCAAAATTGGAAGCGCTTCAGACTGGGTTTTTTGCCTTCTTTTGGATCAACAGCAAAAACATATGTGAGGAAGGCTGAACTTGATGGATGCAAGTCTCTTTTCAGCTATATAGCTGATAATAGTAAATAAAACTGGTCTTTAAAATGGCCGTCACCTTTAGGAATATTTTGCAAAGACCCCTAAAGCTTACACTCTACCACTTTCAAATGTCTGCTAGGGGAAAATGGTTATGCACAAAAGGAAACTGAACATTTTACATTTTAAAGTAATCAAAAGTCTAGGTTACCAAATTTGTGCCATTTTCTTTTTCTTCTTAACCCCTTAAGGACCAAACTTCTGGAATAAACATCCAGCCGTGCAGTCTCTCCAGGATGGGGAAGAGATGAACTATATACATGTGAAATAGTGATTACATTTTAAAATACACACAGGTTCCAAAACGTTCTATAAAGGAATGCTGTAAATAACATGACCGCTACAAAGTGCTCTTGTGGTTATAGTGTCAGCATGTCTCCTGGCACAGCCCAGTGGTAAACTGTTAAACCATTTAAAAATATTTTACACGTACCTGTCTCTTTCAATTTTCTTTTGTCTTTCTAGTCTAGACTGGCATGGTAAAGCGGAAGTTTGGTTAACTCATAATATGAGATGTGTTTTTTTTATTGGCTAAGGATGTTGACTGAGAGCTCTCAGCCAATAAAGAACGCCCAGCTTGTGAGAAGTTAACTGATAATGTGGAAGTATGGACTGCTGCTTTACCACACTATCTCAGATGTGAAGACAGTGTTGGCACATTTCAGAGACATGCACTGTAGTGGTTATGGTGCTTAGTGTCCCTTTAATGTTGGGTTCATTTATGAGTAGGTTTTTCTGACACTTGAAATTACCATGTGTGATAATATTCCATATTGATTAAGAATGATTGATCACTATTGAGCAAATCAAACTATTATAGATTGTCAAGATGGCGCTGGTACACCGTACTGAAAATGTTAATAACTACAAAACACAGTACCAGAATGACTCATGCATCGCTTCAAGAGATAGTTATGAGAACAGAACTAGCTTTTTAGATAAGAGAAATTAACCGCACAGATCTGGCATGGCATTGTTGTTGGGACTGGAAAGCCTGGCCAGCTGCAGGTCCCATCCAACACTTTTGCAAGGTCTTTGCTGGACTTCACTGATAAGAAGATTTGATGGAAAAGTATAGACTATTCACCCTATTGATTATTAAGTTTCTTATAAAAGACGAGAAAACTTGGCACTCATTTGGAGTACTACCCACCTGTAATACGGATGCGAATTGCTGATTTCCCAGTAAGAAAGGGTCCCCTTCAAGCCTGACTGCCAGAAGTTCTCTCAGTCTAGTGCAGAAAGCCTCTCTTATGGTGATGTATACTTAAGCTGATGTCTATATATTTGAGCTGTTTCTTTAAGTCGTTTTTATATTCAGCGGTTTCCTTAAGATTAAAGAAGTCTTTGTTAATCAACATAGGCGTGCGCACGGGGTGTGCCGGGTGTGCCTGGGCACACCCTAATCCTGCGGCACGCCTATGTATATTGAGACCGGCAGGGGAGATCTCAGGATCTCCCCTGTTGGCTCATGCAGAGCCGGCGCTATCTGAGCGCCGGCTCTGCTCTCAGCCTCCCTCCCCACTGACCCATATGCAGGGAGGGAGGCAGGAGAGGACCGGCGGAGCTATTGCCTGCAGCTCCGCCGGGTTCCTCTCGCGAGATATGAGCGTTGCCATGGCAACGCTCAAATCTCGCGAGAGTGAACTCTAGCCCCACAGGGGCTAGAGTTCACTCTCCACTGGACCACCAGGGATGGAATCAGAAGCAACAAGGATCCCCCCTCCCTACAAAAGGTAAGAAGGGAGGGGGGGTAGCAAGTAATGTACCCCCACCTCCACCCCCACAATCACACACATACAGCACCCACACACATTCAGCACCCACACACATTCAGCACCCACACACATTCAGCACCCACACACATTCAGCACCCACACACACACACAGCACCCTCACACACACACAGCACACTAACAGTACCCTAACAAACACACACACAGCACACTACCAGTACCCTCACACACAAACAGCACCCTCACACACAGTACATTAACAGCATCCTCACAAGTACGCACACACAAACACCCTCACCCACATAGCACACTACCAGCACCGTCACACACACATCACACTAACAGCACCCTCACACAGAACACACGCACACAGCAGTGTGTGTATGTGTGTATATATGTGTATATGTATGTATGTATATATATATATATATATATATATATATATATATATATATATGCGGCGTGTGCTTGTGCTTTAGGGTGCACACCCTAATGCAATAGGCTGCGCACGCCTATGTTAATCAATAACGTTTGTATTGATTATTTACAAGTACTTGATGTCAGTGTCTTTCCCTTTCTTAAATACTCAATACACTCATCCCGAATAGGGTTTTTGTGCCCACCAATATCTTTTAAAACCTTAGGGTAATTGATTATTGCTTTTTGATATTGGTGCTTCATGAATTTAATGATTAGGCACAACACCATGGCACTACTGTAAAAAGGGTGTCCACTATTATTGGCTTACATACCTTGTGGACAATATTTCTGAAAATAAATTGTGGAGATTCAATTGCATTGTTTTGTTAGATCTATAATCTGATGGTGCCATATTTTTGCAGTTTGATCTGATAAATTTACATAATGTTTCCTAGTTTGTAGAAGACTACGAACCAACCAAAGCTGACAGCTACAGGAAAAAGGTTGTGCTGGATGGAGTAGAGGTCCAGATTGACATCCTTGACACAGCTGGACAGGAGGACTATGCAGCAATTAGAGATAATTACTTCCGTAGTGGAGAAGGCTTTCTCTGTGTCTTCTCTATCACAGAGCAGGAATCTTTTGCAGCTACAGCAGACTTCAGGTGAGGACACAGATGGTTTGAAAGTTATGTGCTGTGGTTTTAAAAGGAAAAAAAATACACTATTTTGTGAAAATGGAACCAAACATATGGATATGTCGGTTATCAATTAAAAAGGAAACTATTGACACAAAGCAGCTTTTTCCAAGCTCAGAAACAATTCTACAAACAACAAATGCTGCGTGTGCAAAATGTGATGCAAGCATGCTTGTAGAAGGTAATATTCCAACTACCTGCTTTTATTCCAACCTGTCATATGAATACAAAGGGACACTATAGGCACCAGAGCAACGTTGGCATAATGAAGCGGTTTTGGTGTATAGATCATGTCCATGCAGTTATACCACTCAACTTTCTGACATTTAGGTGTTAAATCACTTTATTACACAGTCATAGTCACACCTACCTGAATGTGACTTACACAGCCTTCCTAAACCTTTCCTGTAGTTTTATCTTTCTATATTGTACATTCTGTTTAAATTAGAATGTCTTATCTCCTGTTTTTAACAGCCTTCTAAATCCTCCTGTGTGTGATTATAAATAAATTTATAAAGCTGGAGATACAGACTTCTAAATCAAGTAAACCTCTTTTTGAAAATTAATAATTCTTTAGGTAGGGCTGCATGGGCAGAAACAAAAGTGATTTAACTCCTGAATGGCAGAGAATTGAGCAGTGAGACTGCAGGGACATGATCTATTCACCAAAACTGCTTCATTAAGCTAAAGTTGTTTTGATGTCTATAGTGTCCATTTAAAGGACCACTATAGTGCCAGGAAAACATACTCGTTTTCCTGGCACTATAGTGCCCTGAGGGTGCCCCCACCCTCAGGGACCCCCTCCCGCCCGGCTCTGGAAGGGGGAAAGGGTTAAAAACTTACCTTTTTCCAGCGCTGGGTGGAGAGCTCTCTGCCTCCTCTCCTCCTCCGTTACGCCCGCCAGCTGAATGCGCGGCAAGGCTTCGCATTCAACTCTGAGAAGCATGCGCCTAGTGGCTGTCAATGAGACAGCCACTAGAGGGAATAGGGGGAAGGCTTAACCCATTAATAAACATAGCAGTTTCTCTGAAACTGCTATGTTTATTAAAAAATGGGTTAACCCTAGAAGGACCAGGCACCCAGACCACTTCATTAAGCTGAAGTGGTCTGGGTGCCTAGAGTGGTCCTTCAATTTGATCTGGCACCCTGTGAGTAAGTAAAAACATGTGCTCAACACACCTACAACTATCCCTATCTATCCATTACTTATCTTAATGGATGGGGCAAAAAGTTGAAAGATCCAGGTTTTCAAATTACCAAAATTGGTTAGCGGAAGCAGGGGAATGAATGAATTTTTTTTTTACAGGATTGTGTAGAGTGTGGGTTTCTTTTCTTTTTTTTTTTTAAATTCTTTATTTTTGTAGTGCGTACAAATATAACAATTGCTTAGGAGGTACCCCAAAGGCATTCCTCTAGCGCAGTATGTACAGTGTAAACATACGGGTAGACAGTAGATATCACACAGTTTTGTTTTTTGGGTAAGGAGATAGATGGTATAGGTTTACAGTGCCTAGGTTCAGAAAGCAGCTTTCCTTTTGTTTATCTAAGACAATAAGTATTTACAAGGGTTTCGTTGCAAAGTCTGGCATTTTAAACAGTACTAGTTTGTTCAGACCCTGAAAAAGACAGGTTATGAGGCTTCAACAGTTGGCAATAAACACGCTAGACTGGATCTCTATGTGACAACTCTATCTACGCTTAAGTTTATATCATGGTATTGAGAGAACAATTTACTAAAATGGTGGTTAACTGTGAACGTGGTGCTGCATGTCCCGTAACCTAGTGCACAGGGATTCTGTAAGGTAAGTTTTACCCGCTACAACAATCCTGCTTGATCTGGCGATGTGTCGCCATGAGTCCCACTAAGGTGATAAGTTGCATGTAATTATCTTGGTGTTCCATAACATGTTCTACTCTGCTTGGTGTACTATGGTTGCTTATTTCGTGTGAGTAGGTCTTAGCGGAAGCCATGGAGCCACGGGTTCTCACCACACTACTCGCCAGTTATATGCATTCTTAACCCCTTGAGGACTCCATTTCAGAAATAAAATTGAATCGTGACTGAATATTTCCGTCATGTGTCCTTAAAGGACCACTCTAGGCACCCAGACCACTTCAGCTTAATGCGGTGGTCTGGGTGCCTGGTCCAGCTAAGGTTAATCCATTTTTTCATAAACATAGCAGTTTCAGAGAAACTGCTATGTTTATGAATGGGTTAAGCCTTCCCCTATTTCCTCTAGTGGCTGTCTCATTGACAGCCGCTAGAGGCGCTTGCGTGATTCTCACTGTGAAAATCACAGTGAGAGCACGCAAGCGTCCATAGGAAAGCATTGATAATGCTTTCCTATGTGACCGGCTGAATGCGCACGCAGCTCTTGCCTTGCGTGCGCATTCAGCCGACGGGGAGGAGAAGAGGAGGATCGGAGGAGGAGAGCTCCCCGCCCAGCACTGGAAAAAGGTAAGTTTTAACCCCTTTCCCCCTTCCAGAGCCGGGCGGGAGGGGGACCCTGAGGGTGGGGGCACCCTCAGGGCGCTATAGATCCAGGAAAACGAGTATGTTTTCCTGGCACTATAGTGGTCCTTTAAGGGGTTAAAGGAAATATTTTTGGGGGAAAAAATATTCAGGATGCTACAATCCTATTTAAAATGTGTAAAGTGCTTCAGTTTAGCTGTAAGATACTACTTTCGGTATAAATTGAGTTTATTCAGAGTCCAGTAGAAAAGTTATGTATATTTCATTAAGAGCAGGGATTCTGTGGGGAGCAAGAGACACAAAGGGGAGAGCAGAATGTATTGTCTTTGATTAATCAGTTTAAGTACTTCTGTAGATATTCAAATATAAATATCCCAGGAATATTACCCTGCCATCATAATTATTTTCCATAATGATATAAAAACTTGTTTTTAAAAAAATTATTGTTTTATAACACTCACATTGACTTGATTTATGTTTTATATTGAATTATGTTTTAGTTGGCTTAATTCCATAACATGGTATTGTATGACTCTAGTCGTGCAGTATCTGTGCGGACATTCCTGTTACTACTGTTATTCTCGTCTTGTTAGAACATGACACTCTCCTTTTGGGGACTTGTGACAAAGTAAAGACCTGTACAATATAGGAAATGAGAAATATTTTCGTGTTTACCTCTAATTTTTTAGAGCCCTTTTGACTGTAGTATGTTATCTCCTATAGGGAACAGATTTTACGAGTGAAGGAAGAGGAGAATGTTCCTTTCCTGCTGGTTGGTAACAAATCAGATCTTGAAGATAAAAGGCAAGTCTCTGTGGATGAGGCAAAAAATAGAGCTGATCAGTGGAGTGTTAACTATGTGGAGACGTCTGCAAAGACACGGGCTAATGTTGACAAGGTACTAGTATGTTTGTTTATTTTTTAACATTAATTGCTTGCATTTAGAAGAAAAAAAAAAAATTACCTAGGCAGACTTTTACATTTTATAAATTATCTGTGTGTTGCTGCCCTCTAGTGGTGAGATTATACATAATCTTTGGTTGGTGGTAGTACTGCCGTTTGTCACACTAGTTGATCTCACTTGAAGTACATAGCTTAAAGTTTATCTGTCACTTTTAAGTATTTCATTAAGATATAATCTTTATGAAATACTGATTGAGACTGCTTTAGAATTCTACTGAAATTCCAATGCAATCCAGGGATACCGTATGAGAAAGTAGGGACTTGTCTTAAAGTAAACCCTGAGATTGACAAAAGGAGGAGCACTCCTCCTGTCCAATCCCAGCATCTGTCACAAATGACAGCTGTGGGATTTAGGTATTGTCTATGAAAGATCCCTAGATCCTCCATAAACCTCAGTGCTATACACGCGTGCACGTGCAAGAGTACAGCACCAGGAACCAAAGAGACCTGCATCATGATGATAGAAACGGCCGCAAAGGACAGTCGGTGGTAGCTAAAACTCTCCTTCCATGCCCCCTACGGCAACATTGATGAATGCAACGCTGTTCAAAGATAGATCTCTGCATGTTGAAGATGATTTGTAAGGCCGCACAAATAACTTTTTATGTCTGACTCTGGAGACCTTCTCTTCTGAAAGATACTAATACATGACTAGAGAATAAAAAAAAAAAAGAAAGAAGACTATTAGAATGTACTTACTCCTTTCACTGTAGGTTCTAGATCTGCTAATCAAAAGCCCCTAGGTCTAATGTTTGTGGTTTGTTAAATTTGTGGTGGTTTTTTTTTTTTTTATTAAAGAAATTAAATAGTAATAACCGTAAGCTAAAGAATGCCTACACAATATGGAGTGAGGGGGGGATAGGACACATAAATAACATGAACAGAGTATGTAAGGCTCCTAATAATAAGCATGTCAAAATAAATGAAAGGAAATCTGCATACAAGGAAGATGGTCAGACCTGTGTGCCAAGATGCAAATTCAATCTTGGTAAAGATTTGGGAATGTCATGACCAACTTCCATAGAGACAAAGAAATTAAGGAAAGTTGCGTTGTTCACGTTATCTTTGTTGGTAGAGAATTCATATATTCATACCGTAAATTCCTTTTTTCTTAGTATAGTGGCAGTACTTACAAGTGGGATGTTCCTTCTGGTTTTGGACAAGAAGCTCCCTCTTCTTTGAAGATAATTGTTGTGCTTGCAAAAGTTATTTAATCCATATAAAAGTGGAGGGAAAGCCAGTACTGCCACTATACTAAGAAAAAAGTAATTTACGGTAAGTAAAATTACTGTTTTTCCTCTCGTATAGTGGCAGTACTTACAAGTGGGATATAGCAAGATCCCTGCAAACAAAACAAAAGGGTGGGGACTCAGAAGGCCACTGCCTGTAGCACCTTACACCCAGAAGCAGCTTCAGAGGATGAGAATATGTTTAATAAAGTTATGCAACGATGACCAAGTAGCTGCTTTGCAGATGTCTTCAGGTGAGGCAGCTGCTCTTCCAGCCCAGGAGGTTGCCATAGCCCTAGTGGAATGAGCCTTTAAAGGAAATCTAAGTGGAATCCCTTTGGATTGATAAGCCAACCTGATGGTATTGGTCAGCCATCTGGCTAATGAGGGTCTGGAGACAGCACAACCCTTGTTAGCGCCTTGAAAGGAGACAAAGAGATGATCTGAGGTCCTAAACCCCTGAGTCTTCTGAAGGTAGACCTTCAGGGCTCTTATAACATCAAGGAGATGCCACTTTCTTTCAAGATCAGATGCAGGAGACTGGTAAAAAGCAGGCGGAATAATAGGTTGGTTCATAGAAGCACTTGAGATAACCTTGGGCAAAAAGAAGGCCTGGGGTGCAGGACAACTTTATCTTGATGAAAAACGGTGAACTCAGGAGAGGAAGATAGAGCACGGATCTCACCTATCCTCCTAGCTGTGGTGATAGCCACCAGGAATGCCGTCTTGAAGGTAAGCAGCTGAATGGGAACCTCCAGTAATGGTTCAAATGGTGGTTCACAAAGGGCTTGAAGCACCAAGGACAAATCCCAGGTAGTAAAAGGGATTAACTTGGGAGGCCTCTTCAGCCGTATGGACTTAACAAACCTTCGGATAAGCAAGTCTGAGGCAATGTCACGAACCAGGAAGTGACTTAGAGCTGGAATCTGGCCTTTGAGAGTAGAGACCCCTAGGCCAGCTTCAAACCCATCCTGCAAAAAAGTATATCCGGGACTGATGCTTTGGCAGGATCCGAAACTCGAACGGAACACCGGGCTCTGAACTTCATCCAAACCCTGAAATAGATTCTTGTTGTGGACAAGCGGAATGAAGACAGCAGAACGTCACATAAGCAGTCTGAAAGACCATGTCCTTGGAGGATCAACCTTGCAGCAACCATGCTGTCAGGTGGAACATTTCCAGAGTTTCTACGGGAAGAGTCACACGCTCTATCATGTTGGAAGAGATTGGGAGCGACCAATGTGAGATGATCATGTTTTCCACTTCTGAAAACCAACTCCTGTTCGGCCAGAAGGGCAGGACAGCTAGAATTTTTGCCTTCTCCCAACTTATCTTCTGAGCAATTCGTGGAATAAGAGCTATTGGAGGGAAAACATAAGCCATGTCGAAGTTCTAAGTGATCGATAGACGTCTAAAAAATCTGGGTAATCTCTTGCTTGGAGAGAAGCAAATCTCTGCACTTTTCTGTTTCTCCTTGTGGCCATAAGGTCTATATCCGGCCTGCCGAAGCAGATAACCAGCTCCAAGAAAACTTGGTTTGATAGTGACCAGTCTGCCTGAGACCAATGACTCTTGCTGAGGTTGTCTGCAATTACATTTAGAGACCCTCTGATATGGGTAGCTGAGATTGCGAGAAGTTTCGCTTGGGCCCAAGACATGATGCGATAGCAGAGGTCTTGTAGAGTTTTCACCCTTGTGCCTCCTTGGTGATTTAAATAAGCCACTGTAGTGGTGTTGTCCGACTGAATTCTCACTGCCTTATTGGTGATGACTGAACTGAAGGTTTTTTTGTGCCTTCCATACCGCTTTCAACTCCCTGAAGTTTGAGGAAGCGTATGCCTCTTCCCTGTTCCAAAGAGATTGATGGAACTGAGATCCTAGATGGGTGCCCCAACCAGTCTGGGAAGCATCTGTGGTTATTATAATCCATTGTTTTTGTGCAAATGAGAGGCCTTTTGAAATGTTGCCTCTTTCTTTCCACCAGTTCAGTTGTTTTTTCACCACTTCGGATAGGTGAAAGGCAGAGTCTAGATCCTCCTGCCTTTTTGACCATTGTGAAAGCATGTCCCAATTGCAATGGTTTTGATTCTGCCTTTGCCCAATCCACTGCTGGGATTGCAGAAGTGAGGAGGCTCAGTAACCTCAAAGAATCCTTGATGGAGCTTGGGTTTTTCTGCAGACTTGACACAGCTTTGAAAATCCTTCTTTGTTTCTCTATTGGAAGAAAAAGAGACAGGGACTGTGATTCCACCCGAAGACCCAAGAATTCCAGACTCCGTGAAGGAATCAACTTAAATTTTTATAGGTTTAGGAGCCAACCATGTTTTTTCAAAACCTTCATAGCGATCTTGAGATGATATGTTAGAAGTTGTTCTGATTGGGCTTTCAAGAACCAATCGTCCAGGTACGGAACAATCAAGATACCTTTTAGGCGTAAAGCTGCTGCTATGGGTGCCAGAATTTTCGTAAATACCCGAGGAGCCGATGACAGGCCAAAGGGTAGAGCCTTGAATTGAAAATGGAGAATTCTTTGCCTTCCTGTCAAGACTGCTAATCTGAGGAACTTCCAGGAAGATTCTGATACTGGAACATGGAGGTAAGCATCTTTTCGATCTAACTTTGCCATGTAATCCCCTTTGTGTAAGATGTGTGACAGACAGAATATTCTCCATACGAAACCTCTGATACGGTATGCAGGTGTTGACCTGTTTTAGGTCTAGGATAAGCCGAAAGGATCAGTCTGGTTTTTGAACCAGGAACAGGCGGGAGTACACTCCCTGAAATACCCATCGTTTGGGTACCTTTTCTACTACATCTTTCCTTAAAAGGATAAGGGCTTCTGTTAGGAGTGCCTCTGATTTCTTTCTTGATGGATAGCTTGACAGTAGGAAGGATGGTTGTGGCATTGCGGAAAACTTGATTCTGTAACCTTCTGAAACTGTTCTTAGAATCCACCCGTTTGATGTACTCTTTTCCCATTTGTGGGCGAAGAACTGAAGGCGTCCTACTCTTCTGGCGTCAAAATTTTATTTTTGTCTTGCCTGTTGGAATCCTGTCTAGACCACTGACTGCTGTTTTCAGCATGTTTTTGAAATCTTTGAAAACGCCCCTGGTAACGAAAGAAACACTGACTCTTGAACTGATATCTTTTATATCTCCGGGGTCTTGATTCCAGAGATAGAGCTTTCTTTGTTTCCGACATTTGTCCAATAATGTCTTCCAAAGACGTGCCAAAAAGTTTGTTCCTCTCAAAGGGTAATTCACACAAGGCTGCCTTAGAAGCTGAATCAGCGGTCCATGTTCAAAACCATAGTGCTCTTCTGGCCACTGATGACATACCCATAATTCTTGCTGATAAACGAAGAATCTCATCAGAGGCATCCGAAAGAAATAAGTTAGATAATTTCAGGAGGAACATCAGCTGGGCAGGGTCGGTATCGGACTTTCCCATAAGAGACTCTACCAGGGCTTGGAGGCAAAGGCTCTGTGCCCTGAGAAGCGCTGAACCTGCTATTTCGGCTCTGCACTGGTAGCCTACGGCTTGGAAGATTCTTCTACACAAAATTTTGGCTTGTTTATCCATTGGGTCTTTAAGTCCCGAGACCTCGCCAATGGGTATAGTGGTCTTCTAGTGACAGCTGGGCTATCTGAATATCTACCTTGGGAAGATCCTCCCATTTCTCTTCAGACTGTAGTTTGAACAGAAGTTTAAAATGTTTTGAAATAAATGCACGTCTTTCAGGATTCTTCTATTCTCTATGAAGGTAGATCCATTATCTTACGGGGCATCGGGAAACCTTTAACCTTACCCTTGGTAGGTTCTGGTTCTCGTACAGCTGTCGCCACTTCTTTAATAAATTTTTTTAAGCTCTTCTGGTGGAAAACCCTCTTCCACACTTGAAGCTAGGCTGGAAATATCAGACTGAGAATTCTCCTGAAGAAATATCAGACTGAGAAGGAGATCTATTTCTCCTACGTTTCGTAGGTTGCTTCTCTCTTTCTTTACAGCATCTTTAAAAGATTCAAATGTCTGGGACACATTTTCCTGCATAGGAAGGATGACATATGTCTGCTTGGCTTTTTCTAGCAATTCTGTAGAGCACTGATTGCATGTCTTTTTGCGACATCCGTCAGGTAGAGGCACAGCACATTCCAGACAACATAAGTGCTTAGATTTGCTTGTGGCTTTTTTAGGAACAGATGCTGACATCTTCTCTTTATCTGCCTTATCCAGAGACATAGGACTGGACATATCTGGGGAAAAAGGAAAAAACACCAGTAATTATATATAGGAGCAGCAATAGTGATCGGTGACAAAAGGAGAGTTTAAAGAGTTCAATCTCACCTCAAACCACCTTAGAACTGTGTAGGAGGGCTGGTGACACAGAATACCAGGACTGTAGACCCACCCTTGGGGTCAGAAAGGTCCTGCACAGCTTTATATGCCACCAAATTTTGAATTTGGCACCAAAAAATGCAAACACAGTTTCGCTCATGCACAGTAGCGCGATTCAGTGATCGGTGGAACCCACCGCCTCCCAGGTGTGCGTTCCACCGCTGTGCGCATGCTTATTGCTCCATGGTGGGAGGTCCACCCAGGAACTCCCAGAGACGCCACAAATAGCGAGGTATCCGGCGCGTTCCGTAACGCGAACCCAGAAGTACTGTTGCCGCTCAGTTCCCGCCCGGGGAGCTATCGGGCACTCACCTCCCCGGTCAGCAACCTGTGCTGACCGCACCATTCTCTACCTGGACCCTTGGGGAACTTGTCCATTCCGTTGCCGGGACAAGAAGAACTGGAGTTGTATTCTGGCTCTCAGGTTATATGGAGGCAGCAGACGGAGCACAACAATTATCTTCAAAGAAGGGGGAGCTTCTTGTCCAAAACCGTAAGGAACATCCCACTTGTAAGTACTGCCACTATACGAGAGGAAAAGATTGAAGGAACACTATAGTCACCTAAATTACTTTAGCTAAATAAAACAGTTTTAGTGTATAGATCATTCCCTTGTAATTTCACTGTCATTTAGGAGTAAAATCATTTTGTTTCTGTTTATGCAGCCCTAGCCACACCTCCCCTGGCTATGATTGACAGAGCCTGCATGAAAAAACAAACTGGTTTCACTTTCAAACAGATGTAATTTACCTTAAATAATTGTATCTCAAGCTCTAAATTGAACTTTAATCACATACAGGAGGCTCTTGCAGGGTCTAGCAAGCTATTAACATATCAGGGGATAAGAAAATCTTAAACAGACCTTGCAATAAAAGCCTAAATAGGGCTCTCTTTACAGGAAGTGTTTATGGAAGGCTGTGCAAGTCACATGCAGGGAGGTGTGACTAGGGTTCACAAACAAAGGGATTTAACTCCTAAATGGCAGAGGATTGAGCAGTGAGATTGCAGGGACATGTTCTATACACCAAAACTGCTTTATTAAGCTAAAGTTGTTCAGGTGACTATAGTGTCCCTTTAACCAGGGCCACTGATGGCTCCTTAAATTTTAGTTTCCACATAATAGTGGGATGACCAAGTCTTGACTCTTTTGGCAAGGCATTTAATGAAGTTACATCTAGGTCTGCCTCCATTTTACATTACTTTCCATTGCACAGCCGTATTTAAAATTGCAGTGATTATGGTTTATATGCAACAAAAGGTCAGAGAGAGTTAAATCTCTGCCCAAATAAACCCCCCTATTAAAAAAAAAAAGGAATCTTCTAACTACACAAATATTTTTATTTATTTTAATATACTCCCCCCCCCTTTTAAAAATAATAAAAAAAAAAAGTGTAAAAATACAAGTTCTATTTACCTGTAATACAGCACAGAGAGACTTTTATGCAACAAAATCCACCCAGACTGGACATGCAGCACATGCGCTGAAAACCGTGATCTTGAAATTCAATGCTTCTCTATTAGAATACAATTGTAGATTATGCTAGCTTTAGTGTACCTATAATCTTAATTTTATTAGTGACAGGAGGTGAGTATTTTGCTTAAGTCTTTCTTTCTTGACTTAAGTTCACAGCATCACTTTTTAAAATAGAAACAGGATAACCAATCAGAAAAAAGGTAACCAGGTATAAAACTCCCTCCCCGTGATGTCCCTTCCTTTTTTTGACTACAAAACGAACAGGGAAACCGTAGATGAACCAGATGAGAATCTTAGCATATCAGTCGAAGAGAGTTCATGCTTGAGAAGGGAGTTCATGCTTGAGGGAGCTTTACACTGAAACGAGAGAGCAGAGTCGAAACAGAGGATTTAGCCATGAATTGGACTTCTAAAAACATGCCACCAAGTTGTATCAATCCATATACTGAAGCATGCATGGAACATCATATCTACCCTTCCACCCATAGAGAGTATCCCCTAGTAATACAGTTAAATAAGACATATGTATTTACCCTTGTCTAGATTAAACTTACCTAAAGAGGCGACAAACTAGGGGGGGGGAGGGGGGAATAAAGGGTGGGAAAATACTCTCCTCCTGTCATAAATAAAATTAAGATTATAGGTACACTAAAACTAGCATAATCTACAATTTTATAACATGACAGGAGGTTTCGTATTTTGCTGTTTTAACGCTCCCTGAGTAGGGCTAATGAAGTGTGTACAGCCGGACGGAAATAGAAATTGCAAAACGTCTGTTCCCTGGACCAGTCTGCTGAGTGAATAATGTCCCGAAGAGAAGCTCCAGTGGTGATCGCTCCTGATGCCGCCGCTTCTCTGATGGAGTGGGCTCCGAAAGAGGGTTTTATCCCTGCCAGGGAAAGTAACCATCTAACCCAACGGGCAAGAGTCGTGGTTGACACTGTGTTATGTGGTTGGACGTATGAAATCAATAGTTGGCTGGATGAGGATGAACAGAGAGTGGAGGTGAGCAATAGATAACGAGAGAGAACCGAGACCACACATAATCTTGGATGGTTAGGAAAATAAGGATAAAACACAGTAGAAGTGTTCGATTTAGTCCGTCTGGACAGGGTAAAGGTAACCCCTTCTGGGGAAAATGTGATGGCGTCGTGGTCAAACTCTCGAACAGACACTCGGCAGAAAGACACTAAGCAAAGTAACAGGGTGAACTTTGCCGAGAGTTGGTGTAGAGAGATCCTCGTTGCTCGGCCAAGCTTGTAGAAAACGGATCATGACATTAACGTCCCGTAGGTGGGAGTACTTTGGTCCTGGGCGAGTCAGTTTAATGCCTCGTAAGAGTCTACAAACCAGTGGGTCCTGGCCAGCTGGAACGCTGTGTAGAGGAACATGGGCTGCCGAGATGGCCGTTCGGGCAACTTTGATGGACCGGTAGGACCGGCTGAGGTCAAAGAGATGTGAGAGGAAATTTAAGATGAACTCTCTAGGGGCTGTAAGGGGATCGGTACCCTGTTCCAGGCACCAATTGCACCAAGAGTTCCAGGAGGAAAGGTAGCATCTTCTTGTTCCAGGGGCCCAAGAATCCCAGAGGAGTTCCTTAGATCTCTGCAATCTCCGAAATTCTGGGCCCCCCTGAAAGAGTCCAAGCCACCAAGTGGAGATGGCCTTGTATTATCATCGAATGAGGGAGCCCCTGTGGGGTTGGGCCATGGAGGTAGAAGGAGAGGATGTTGGCAGGAGAGGTCCAGAAGCTCCGGAAACCATGCTTGGCCCCCGCCAGAGCAGGGTGAGAAGTAAAGCGTGACTAATTGTCTGCGAATTTGGAGAAGGATTCTTGGGATCATTGCGAATGGAGGAAAGGCATAGGCCCCCGTCGTCCGCCATCTCTGTAGAAAGGCATCCACTGCAGATCACTCTGGGTCTGGTAGCCAGCTGAAGAACTGCGGGACTTGAAAGTTCGGGATGCGAACAGGTCCAGAACAAATGGGCCCCTGTGTCTCGAGATGCGAAAGAAAACTGATCTGTGCAGGCGCCAGTCGCCGCCATCTCTCCAATATCGGGAGAACCAATCTGCTGTGATGTTCGCCCCCCCAGAAGGTATTCCGCTCGAAGTGTGATGTTGCACTGAAAACAAAAATTGTAGATGTCCTTTGTCACTTCGGAGAGGGTGCGAGACCTGGCCCCACCCAATCTGTTGATGCATTGGATGGCTGAGATATTGTCCATCCAAAGGAGAATACAGCAGTCCGAGAGGTGATTGGCCAGGCTGCGGATTGCGAAAGAGCCTGCGATTAACTCCAGACAATTGATGTGGAGTGAGTATTCTGCGGCTGTCCATGGTCCTCCAGTGGAGGTCGTGTGACAAGTTGCACCCCAGCCCCGAAGGCTCGCATCTGATTCCACCACGAAGTCCGGGGTGGGGACGAAAATTGCTTTTCCATTCCAAGCAGACCTGTGGAGGAGCCACCAGCGGAGTTCCTCCCTTACCTCGGTGGTGATCGGGACTCTCTGGTCGTATGATGAGTGGGTTTGGAGAAATTGAGCTTTCAAGTGTTGCATGGCCCGATAGTGTAGGGGTCCTTGGTAGATTGCCTGGATGGAAGCGGAGAGGAGGCCCACGATCCAAGCTAAACCTCTGTGAAGTCTGTCTACTTGTCGTAGCGTCTTGCGTAGTTCTTTCCTGATTGCCGATAATTTGGATTGAGGCAGACGGAGAACACAAGTGGAAGAGTCGATCTCGAAGCCGAGGAACTGGACCGTTTGGGATGGAGTCGACTTCTCCTGGTTGATAACAAACCCTAAGGATTCGAGCAATGAGTATGTGTAGTCCGTCTGAGATCGTAGTCTGGATTCGTCTTCGCAGAGTAGTATGAGATTGTCGAGGTAGATTAAGCAGCGTATGCCTCTGGCTTGAAGATGTGCGGTGACCGTCTTGAGCAGTTTGGTGAAGCACCATGGAGCTGAACTGAGGCCGAATGGCAGGCAGGTGAATTGGAAGGTCCAGTGATTCCAAAGGAAGCGGAGAAAGCGTCGACTGGTTGGATGCACTGACAGAGAGAGAAATGCATCCTTCAGGTCGAGTCGGGTGAACCAATCGCCTTGTCGAAGTATGTCTCGGAGGAGGTGTATGTCTTCCATTTTGAAGTGTCTGTATACCACAATGGTATTCAATTGGCAAAGGTTGATGACCGTACGGAGTTCCCCTGATTTCTTCCTGACCAAGATGATAGAACTGAGAAAACCCTCGTCGTGGTGGGCAAGTTAAATCGCTCCTTTTGCGAGTAGGGATCGTAGTTCTGAATCGAGGAGAAGAGTTTGAAACTTTGACATTATTGGGTAATGAGGGTAACCTGTTTGAATGGGGAGAAAATAAAACTCTATGGAATAACCCCGAACTGTGTTTAGAACCCAGGTATCTGAAGACAGTCTTCCACATGTCTACACAATGTAACAATCTGCCGGCATGATATACAGTAGAAAGGTGAAAGGTAGAAAATCTCACCTGTCGGGCTCTGCTTTTTTCTCTTCCTCTATCCGACCTTTGGGTGTAGAAGCCCCTTGACTGATAGTTGGGGAAGAATGGTGAAATGAGGGGTCGCTGGTGTTGGCCTGTGGACCAGAAACAGCTGGCTGTACGGCCAGCCCTGCCAAAAACCCATGAGGGTTGTTGATGAAATGCTCTTTTCATGGATGTCTGCGCCTTGTTCAGTGTGGCGTATAGGTTCACATGTTTATTTAACTCTTTAATATAGGGTTCTGCAAGTAATAGACCCTTGGCTTTGGGGCTGAATTCTTTGGCTCCCAAGTCGGATAGTTTTGCATCCATGCGCAGCAGCACTGCTTTTCTACGCTCTGTACAGAGAGATGTATTTGCATTGCCCAGCAGGCATATGGAGCATAGTGCCCATTCTCTGATCACAGATGGGTCCAATGGTCCCTCTTGAGAGAGGGCTTAATCAGCCAGTAACAGAATTTTTGCCAGGGGCCCCAGGATATCCAACATTTTGTCCTTGGTGAGGCACAAGCTGAGTTCAGTGCCCTTTTTTGGGTCACGGCCAGTTCTGGCTAGGTATGTTTAAAGCAGCGTATCAAATTCTGGGGTCATCACCTAAAGAAGGTGAGCAATTCTGTATTTTATTTACATTGATCCATATCAGTATCTAAAATACTACATTTAGATTGGGGATATCTGTGTCTTTTTTCTATGCAACGTGGAGAAGAATTTGCGCTCTTTTCACCTTGAGAGACGGGTCGTGTGATCTACCCCAAAAAAGACACAGACACCTGGAAGTTTAGAGCCTTATAACTGTAAAAGGCTCTAAAAAATGTGAGTTTATTTCAATTCATAATCTGCAACTAAAGTACTTTATTAGATATTTATTTAACATACTACACTATTATTTGTACTTTCTCTATGTTCTCTTTTTTTGGTATACCATTAAGAAAACTAAAGCACAACATATAGGGTAAGTGCGTGTTTCAGCACTGTTCTCTCACTGGAAATTTCACCTTATGTCTTTATATTCCGCGCTACACTCATGAGAAACTGGGGATCTGGGTGATACAAAATATCAACCTAAATCCAAAGTTTTATTTGCCCTAAATAGAGTCTGTCGGTAAGTGGGAAAACTTAGGGGAAACGATGATATTTTAAATGCCGCGATTAGCGCTGGAGACTGAAAAAATAGCCGCCGCACGGCCAGTGTATGCGCAGATCGCGGCTCCGAGAAAATGGCCACCGCGATCTTGCCTGAGCGGGAAAAACGTCCGCCGTGCGCGTCAAGGGCCGTCAGAGGCATTCTCCATGGCCCAGAAAGCCCGGGAAAAACGGGGCAAAGATTGCCAGCCGTCACCCAGGCTAAAAAAGGCACAAAAACATATAAGAAATAAAATACAGAGAAGTATAGGAAAATATATAAATAGGAAAGAAGGTTGTAAAAAGATACAAATGGGAGAAAAAGAGACAGGAATAAAAGCTGTGGAGAAAATATAGTGAAAATAAAAGATAAACCCCAGCAAGAATATAAGACAATGTATAATAACAATAAAAATGGAAATAAAAAACAAAGAATGTAAAGTTAAAATGAAACCACAGAAACCCACAGAGAGTAAGAGAAGGTGGCACTGTGACCTGTACTGATGTGAAGCAGCAAAGAAAGAGGATATGACATCACGGTTACCTTTTACCTTTTTTCTGATTGGTTATCCTTTTTCTATGTTAAAAAGTGCTGCTGTGAAGCTTAAGTAAAGAAAGACTTAAGCAAAATACGAAGCCTCCTGTCAGGTTATAAAATTACTTTTCATGCTGTCACAGATTTTGAAGTAAATATTGAAAACTCAACACAGAGTTCTATATGCTTTTGAAACTGTACAAAAGTGTATGAAAACTGGGGGTTGCACCTACATGTGGCATGCAATAAAGGTTTTAGAAGATGCAATATATAAAATATAACTTTTAATGAGATTCCCCCAGTGAAATACTCCTAAAGACGTTAGATGTCGAGATCAGCCAAAACATTAAAACCACTGACAGGTGAAGTGAATAACATTGATTATATTGTTACAATGGCACCTGTCAAGGGGTGGGATATATTGGGCAGCAAATGAGCATTCAGATCATTAATTTAATGTGTTGTGCAGGAAAGATAGGCAAGCGAAAAGATCTGAGTGAGTTTGACAAAGGCCCAATAGTGATGGCTAGACGATTGAATTAGAGCAGTGGTGCTCAAAAGGTCAATCCCCCAGATGTTTTAAAACTACAGCTTCCATTATGGTTTGTCATTCTAAAGGCATGCAAAGCATTATGAGAATTGTAGTTCCACAACATCTGGGTATCTACCTTTAGTGCCCACAGGATGCAATATGGGGAAGAGATGACAACAGGATGCAATATGGGGAAAAAGGCAGGCCTGCAGAGGCAGTGTTATGCTCTGGGCAACGTTCTGCTGGAAAACCTTGGGTTCTGCCATTAATGTGGATGTTACTTTGACATGTATCGCCTACCTAGAGATTGTTGCTGACCACATTCACTCTTTCATGGCAATTCAGGGGCCTCGTTCAGCAGGATAATACACCATGTTAATATAGTAAGGCATTATGTAGGGAAGAATCCCCTCTTTTATTGTGAGACTGTCATTCAAAGTTGTTTTAGCTATTGTAGTCTCAAACATTTATTGTATTGATTAACTTTATTTTGGTAAACACAGGTGGAAATTGCAGGATGCATTTCTCAGAAACAGTGCTGCTTCCATTTATAAGGCTGCAGATGAAGTTGTTATGGTGCTTAATGTCCCTTTAAATCTATGCACAGACATTGACCATCTAAGTCACTATTTAGGACACACTTCTGTTTTTCAATACCAATTTAGATGTCTTTAAACCTTTTTTTTTTTTTTTTTTTATTGAGGTTTTGTCCCAATTTAATAATTTAGCTATGCATCCAGTAGCCTAATGAAATATTTTGCAAAATCACTGACATGCTCAGACTATCACTGCCATCCAAATATGTATAAAATTGATATTGTTAACATAGATGTGGAACTGTTACACAAAGTGCCAAGAGAATACTTGGTTTTTGGCTGAAACAATTGATGGTGGAGCCTACTCACACTATAACCACTACAACAGCATGTAGCCATTACAGGGTATTGACTGTCCCTTTAATAGCTTAATAACCAATATTCATTACCACTCAACTAATTCATATTAATTAAAAAATATATATTTTGTTTTGTTTCTTCCAGGTATTCTTTGACTTAATGAGAGAAATCCGAGCCCGCAAGATGGAAGACAGCAAAGAGAAGAATGGCAAAAAAAAGCGAAAAAGCTTGGCCAAGAGAATAAGAGAAAGATGCTGCATTTTATAATGAAAACTTGCAAAACCACCTCTTCCTTTTTGTCTAATACTGATACGAACCATACGTTGCTAGCATGCCCTAGGCCCCAGGCAGCACAGGTGACTGGCTGTTCTATAACATTTTTTGGAGACATTAATTAAACACTGAGAGCATGATTTGGACACTTCGCGGCACTGACATTCAACTTCACAGACAAAATTAAAAAAAGAAAAAAAAAATCTGGTTGAATCATATGGAAACAAAATGTAGTTCCATTCATATATACTTGCTTATTTGTACAATATTCCTGAATGTACACATGTGGAGAGGCGCAGCAATAGTCTGTGTGTAAGTTTATACAAATGCAAACATTACCTCTCTTGTCTATTTCCGCTAGCAAAAAAATCAGTGGTACCCACCCAGTACAACATGGGTTTATACCATGATCCTGAGCTCGATACAGACTGACACAAGATAGCAGTTTGTTTTTTGTTAGTTTTTTTTTTTTTTTTTTGCTGTTGTAATAGTGAAAATAACCATTTTTACACATCTCATGTCATTGTCTAGAAAATGCCATGTCCTGTAGTTTTCCCATTGTACTTAGAAATCTCTGAATATGCCTTAAAGGGGTTAAAGTGGGAAAAAACACAATGTAATACTACTGGGCTGTGTAGTCTGTTTAGTGATCTGTGAATGTTGCAAAATGCTGTGCCCTCTGCACGGTTTCGGCTTGGTGCAGACCCAAGAGCACATCATTACCTGTGGTTTTGTAAACTTCTCATTGTGATTAGTGAGCATCTACTGTGCGATGGGATTGCCCCATGTTGTTCTCTTCACCGAGTAAATGTTTCTTAAAAAACTCTAAAGACTGCATTCTCACAATGGTTTAACAGAGTACATTCTTGTGAGGTTTCTGTCTATTTTACCCAGAAAGCAAGAAGTTTATTTTTAAATTCTCAATTCTAGACTTGTTGACGGGTAGGGTTTGAATAAACCCTGATATCACATGGATGGTGTGCCTGTTAACTGTACATTGTGGTAGAAATCATGGCATCTGATATTGGCACAACCTGTGCTATTCATTTTCAATGTCTGTCTTTTTTCTGTTGTACAGACATTGGAGGAGATTCAGCCAAGTGTTCTGTTCTAAAAAGTGTTGCACAAATGTAAGCGTGATGGAGTCCCCAACGGAGCGTGCTGTTGGTTTCACCGGTTTCCATTGCAATTTCTCCCCTTTTAGTTCTTTAGAGCACTTGTTAAAATTGAACACATTAGAAAATCCCTGCTAGTGATTATCAAACATACCTGCTAGTGATGTTTGGGTATTGAACTAATAACTGCAGTCCTCGGTTTCTAGCTCTTCAGCTGTTGTACTATGCCATGCTCATTTACTTCAGCAGCTGCTGAGCTAAAGGTTGCGTGGATTAAAAAGCAGTGCTAGCTGTTAACCTCTGGCCAGTTCTTAATAAGATTTGGATAACAGCAGGTCTGTATGCTCTCCCTTCCCTCATACAAAGCTAAAAGTTGTACTATCATGGGAGTAATATTGCAGAGCCATATTCAGAAATGAAATGTTTCACTCTACAGCCAAATGTGCAAAGAACATGTTCCCAGTATGTTTAATACAATATAATAGAGATGTGCTTATTTGTAACCAGTCATTTTCGGTTTCTGATGACAGTGTCATTGATTACTAGATACATGGGTATTCGCAACTTTGACATTTTTGAAGCGTATTCTTGGAGATTGTGGCACTTGCAGAGAAATCACCATGCTTTTCAGTTGGCAAAAAAAAAAATCTCTGAATTTCTTTAAAACAATTCCATAACAACCAAATAGCAGCAGGAAAAATGTCAGTCCTGAGAGTATATTGAGGAACCACTAGAATATTGATAGAATAGGTGTGTGTTTTTTTTTGTTTTGTTTTTTTTGTCCAGGACTATTGTATTTTTACTTGGAGAAAACGTTTTACATGGAAAGAATTCTCCAACTCACCTTACACACATCTTGACTATTTTAGCCAGAATCAACTCCATACAATGTTTTCTGGAGGCCTTATAGGTGCCTCAATTATTTGGATGTTTAAACACTAAAACACAGGATAGAAAGTAAGGGGATTGATTCACTAATTATTTGAAAACGTTGTAGTTTGATTATCACTTAACCACAGTGAATAAATCCAATATGTTTATACTGCATTGGCAAGTGCTGTCATTAAATTCTAGGATACCTTACTTCTAAGTAGCCTGCTTACAATAACCCTGGAATGAAAATCCTGACTGTGAAATGCCGAATTATTAGTTTAACTCTGTTAAGTGGTGGGTGATTTTGTGCACATTGACTTGTAGGGCTGTTTTTACATTTATTTGAAATTGAGCAGCTTGGTTGTAATTTAGCAAAGTTTTGACACATCAAATTATTTAGTAAATATATCCCCCTAACATATGCCCAATAAGTGTACAAGCATCACAAACTCAAAACTTTTTTTTGTTTTGTAGACCAAGAGTTGGACTGGCACACGTTGCTCACACCTAATCTAGAACAAATGTTTTCTACCTCCTAACAGAGACCATGTAAATGGTACTGGAATGGGAAAATGTAGAACTTTGAATTTCACATGTACTTGTTAGATAGTTTTCAGCTTGTAAGATGATAACAGGAAATGACATTATCATACATCCCATATTTACCAGAGGGCACATTGATTTATATACTGTACTGTGACTGTTCCTTTGTATTTTTCCATGGGTTTTCCACTACTAATGCTTTGATTTACTTTGCTTTGATGCTGATGTGCTGGGTGCAGTGGTATTATGAAGCCATAAGTTTCTAAATTATGTGAACAAAGGCTGATTCCAACACCCAAGTTTATAATTTGCAAATTGAGCCATTTCAAGTAAAATAAAGTTCACTTTTGTAATTTTTGTCCAGTAGCTGTTTACTTTTTTAGATTGTCTTCCTCTACCGTACAACTTATGGTGTGCTTTCCTTGTTCTGGTTGCCCAATGTGGTCCTATCTCTTGAGTTCTTCATTCTGGAAAATAGCTTCTGGGTATCATCCCAGAGCCACCACCATACTCTGTAAGCAAGGAGAGTCCCAGGTAACCATCTTGACAGTTGCCCTATGGGTGAGTAACAAGGCGTGGTTCTTGAATGGGCTTCCTATAATAAAATATCGTAAGTACCCTTATTACCTTTTGCTTATATAGTGCCATAAAATTCTTCTGCATTGTTTAAACGAAATACGGGTAATAACAAAATTTTGTTTGACCGAAGTAGACTTGAAGAAAAAGTTTTTTAGCTGGTGCAGAACTACTGGCAGTGTAGCCTGTGCAACCTCACCCGGGCACTAGCGGGTCAGGGGTCCCACCAATGGCAGATTTTGTTGCAGGTGCAATGGGCCCCTTCCTGGACACTGTCACAGCTCCCGCTGTGAAATGTAACAAGACAGGGCTGCAGGGATGCTCCAGGTGAGATATTTCAAATGCACACTGCAAGAACACTGTAGGGAAAGCTGGACTTGAAGAAAGGGCGAGTTTGTGTGGATCTGTGTTTGTGTCGATCTGTATATCTGTGCACATGTCATTCTGTGTGTACGGATGTTTGCATGTGTGCATCTTTGTTTGTGTCTGCTTATGGCAATTTTGGTTCTGTGTGTGCATGCTGGATTGTTTTCATATATAGAAATACATTGTCACCGACAAACACAAACATTACACACACCTTACACTTAAACACACTAATGCATCCAAATGCGAGCACTACAAAAACACCCCTGCATTCAAATGTCAAGACTACACACAAAACCAACTCTGTGTTAAAAAATGTTTACACCTCCAAGTTTAAACAACAACACTGTACACAATTACACTATTCCAAACACCAGCACTAAACAACTGCATTCAAACACACACTGTACATAACCACCTTTGTACAGAAACAACATTATACACAAACATCCACATACATACTCCATACAAAAACACACTTATAGTCACATATAGTCATGGCACACAAATACAAACCAGCAAGGATGGGCGAATGATATATCCACAGCTAGCAAAGCATCACAAGAGTTGTAAAACAGTTAAGGATCTACCTTTTGGATGCCCTTGTTCTACAAGAGGGGGAACCGAACTTTTATTTTAAATTTTCTGTACCAAAACCTATTTTACATTTAATATGCCACTGGTTTTTAGAGCCAACAATGTAAAATACACATTAACCCCTTACTGACCAGACCGTTTTTAGATTTTCTTACCGTTAAGGGCCAGGGCTGTTTTTTTAATTTCTGCGTTGTTTGTGTTTTACTGTAATTTTCCTCTTATCTACTGTACCCACGCATATACCGTTTTTATCGCCATTAAATGGTCTTTCTAAAGATACCATTATTTTCATCATATCGTATAATTGACTATAAAAAGAATTCTAATATATTTTTAAAAACACACATTTTCTATCTTTGACCCCAAAATTCTTGCGCAAAAAGCACCCATGTTAAATAGTTTCTAAATTTTGTCCTGAGTTTAGAAATACCCAATGTTTTTGGAAAGTTATAGGGCAATGAGTACAAGTAGCACTTTCCCATTTCTAAACCATTTTTATTTTTTTCAAAATTAACAAAAGTTACATTGTAACACTATATGTCAGGAATCCCTGAATAACCCTTCACATGTATTTTTTTTAAAGAAGACAACCTAAGGTATTTTAACAATTTTCATGCAACCATTTTACCTCCAATCCATGCCAAATTAAAAAAAAAAATGGTGACACATAGCAATTTAATACATGTACTGAGAACTTTAAGGGTTACTGCCAAAGAACACCCCAATACGTATTCAGCAACATCTCCGGAGTACAGAGTATAGGTGTGTCAGGTTCTCTGGGGGCTGAAAGACCTTATTTGGAGGGTGCAAATTCCAGTTTTCCAACTTGGAATTTTCACAGCTGATCATCATGCAACCATGTCCTATTTTGGACACTTTTGAAGCCGGCTAATGTAATCATGGCAAACTAAGCCGCCACCAAAAAAGCCCCTGTTGTGCGAGACCCTGGGTGAGAGGCACATTGTGGTTTGGAAATCACCTGAATTAGATGGAATAGCGGTTCAAAAGTATAGTAGACCTCATTTAGATACAGGGCTGCGATATCTTTCTGTGAACATTTTTTTCGGTATAAATTAGTTGACCTTTTTTTAGGTACAACACGGAGTGGTAAGATCAGTCTGGCTTTGAGAAAAGACGAGTACACGCCTTGAAACTTCTTTTATAAGTACACTTTCTACTAAACCGGTTACGTATAAACTTGACTGTTTCTGTTAACAGAGCTTGCTGATGCCTTCAATTTATATCTGAACACACAAAGAGAATAGAAGTTTATTAAAAATTTATTACATAGTCTTCTTTATGTTTAACACTCATTGCACAGTGTTTTCACAGATGTGAGTGAATTTTCTTAACCTTCCTCTTTTACCAGACTTGACGTCAGAATTTATTACTTTTGACTTGTTTGAAACTTTGGGATCTATCTCTGCTGCAATTGTTTAAGTTCTGCCTACGAAATGGCTATAATCAATTTTTTAAATTTTATTTTTTTATGTGCATATGTTGATTTAGCTTATTTAAAGGAATGCTATAGTGTTAGGAATGCAAATCGATGATCTCAGCCAATCCAATGCTTTCCCATAGGAGAGGATTGGGAGTCTAGTTTGCATGCACAGCAAAAACCCCACACTTTACTCTATTATTTTGTAGAAGTGCCTCTAGTGGCTATCAATATTAAAGCGACTAGAGGCAGATTAACCCTGCAATAACAAAAGCTTTCAGCTGCAGGATTAAAGGGACACTGTAGGCACCCAGACCACTTCAGCTAATTGAAGTGGTCTGGGTGCAGTGTCCCTTTTGCACTTAGTGCTACAATGTTAAACATTGCAGTTCCAGAGAAACTGCAATGTTTACAAACTAACAATGTTTACATTGCAGCACAAGTCTGCCCACAGTGGCTGTCTAACAGACAGCCACTAGAGGGCTTCCTGAATCGTAATGGACCTTTGGTCCGATATCTGACACTGGACATCCTCGCCCTCCACATGAGCATACCTGGCGTCAGATTTTTTTTTCCCCAATCGGAAATTATTGCTTTAATGCTTTGCTATGGGGAGATCTAATGCGTGTGGCATTTGCCGAGTGTGCGCATTAGCGCCCGCTCATGCCAGGTAAATGTTTTTGTTCACAGATCAAGTGATAATTGACCGTGACATCGGCGCTGGGATCAGGCAGGTAAATAAAGGCTTTTAACCCTTTATTTACGAGAGAGGGGGATTTGGGGCAGGGGGAGCAGTAATGCCAGGAATACAGCTTACCATTTTTCTGTCAGTCAACTTAAGTGACTCCATTACCATATCGCACATTAATTTGTTAACCATTTTAATTCAGATGTTTACTACAAATTTTTAGACCGATAAATTATGGTGTGCTTTTGCTGAGAGTCTGCATCTGGCTTCTTGAGGCCTGCAGAAGCCAAAAATCCATTTAGTTGACATTGACAGAGACTTTGCACGTGGTGGGGTCCAGGTGAGAACCAAACTGCTGCAACCTACCAGGAAATGGAGCCAGGGTACCCCTTGCATCATTACCACTACTAATACTATTACTACTACAGTAGGCTGCAGGGGTAAAGATGCTCAGAGTTAGACTTGTGTACAGAGGGATTTTTCAGTTTGCACAAATAATTTCTGACATTTTATTTTCTGTAAATTTTGCAATACACGTATAGGTGCATTTGGTTCACAGATCAAGTGAGAAAAAGTAACCAACAGAGGGAAAAAGAGGAGAGATTGTAAAAAAAAATTCTATGTATGTTTATATATTCTACTGCTTTTTACTGCTCCTTTTTTTTTCTTCCCATGAATGTTTAACCCCTTAAGGACCAAACATCTGGAATAAAAGGGAATCATGACATGTCACACATGTCATGTGTCCTTAAGGGGTTAAAGGGACACTCCAGGCACCCAAACCACTTCTGCCCATTGGAGTGGTCTAGGTGCCAACTCCCACTACCCTTAACCCTGCAAGTGTAATTATTGCAGTTTTTTTCTAAACTGCAATAATTACCTTGCAGGGTTAACTCCTCCTCTAGTGGCTGTCTAGTAGACAGCCACTAGAGTGTACTTCCGTGTCTATAGCACGGTGTGAGGACCGCCAGCGTCGCTCAATTTCCCATAGGAAAGCATTGAAAAGCATTTTCAATGCTTTCCTATAGAGAGCTCTAATCCCTTTAAACTCCCTCACTGTTAACATCTACCACTTCAGCTGGAAGGCTATTCCATGCATCCACTACCCTCTCAGTAAAGTAATAGTTCCTGATATTATTTTTAAACCTTTGCCCCTCTAATTTAAGACTATATCCTCTTGTGGTAGTTTTTCTTGTTTTAACCCCTTAAGACCGCATGCCGTTTTTATTTAGATGGCTCTAAAAGCCGCAGGGAGGCATAGAACGCCCTGCGATCTTATGTACGTACGCGGTCGCCGGCGATCACGGTATGGAGACTCACCTGGGAGCCCAGGGAGTCCCCCTTCGTCCTCTTCGGCCCCCCTGGGCCATGTGATCGCAAGGTCCTTGTGAGGACCTCGAGATCACATGGAAGGCAATGCCAGCAGGGGGAGTGCCTGTAATGACAGGTACTCCCCCTGCTGCCTGAAAATAAAATTAAAACTTGTTAAATCAGTGTAAAAATAAATGTGTGTGTGTGTGTGTATATATGTGTATATATATATATACACACACACATACACTGTCTAAGTGTATTTTAATATTAATATATACATAATTATATATATATATATATATATATATATATATATATATAAAATCAAAATACACGTACAATATTGATTTTATATATATATAAAAAATTTCTATATATATATTTATATATATATATATATATATAATAAAAATATATATGTAAATACATTAAATAATATTTTAAAAAATCATAAATATATACATGTGTAATTTAGTTTTAACTGTATTTTTACATTAAAATATATATAGATATCAAAATATATGTAGAACGAAATATTATATATATATATATAATTTTCCCAGGTCCCAGCACTCAATGTTCCCGGTCTTTTCCATGCTCCGGTGCAAGTAATCTCTGACCAATATATAGCATCCAAGTTGAGAGCACTCTGGAGTCTTCGTTTTATATCAAAATAAATACTGCTTTATTGTGCAGAATACAAAAATGTCGACGTTTCAGTCACAATAGACTTTTCTCAAGACAATTCATGCAATGAATAAACCGTGATTATATATGTTACAACAAAATTCCTATTGGAGGGTGAAAGATTGAAAGCAAGGACAGGTGACGTCATAATTGACGTATTTAGACAGAATATTAACCAGGTGATTCTTAACTCAATTAAGGTTTGAAAAAGTGACTTAGTGCTAATTAAATACACAGAAAACTATTTACAAAATAAAAACTAATGATATTAATAAGTAAACCTAAAAAATATTCACTATATCCAATAATCCTGTTAACTAGCAACAAGTCCTGATTTTTCTGTCTTGCAATATCCAAATGTCTATTAGCAAAATATGTAGATAGAGACAAAATCAATATTATTATCCTATAATCCTGTTAACAAACAACAAATCTTGATTACTGAGTCTTACACTTTCCTAATGTCTACCAGCAGAATATGTGTATAAAGACAGTCAGTGGGGGGCGTGGCCTGGACACGGAGGAACATGGCAGCTTAGGCACGGAGCTCCGACCCACGAGCAAACACAGCACACCTTACCGTTAGCAAGGCACGAGGATGGGGCGCACAAAACGCCCGGACGGGTCGCAGACGCCGAGGGGTCACTCCTCCAGCACCTCGGCTGGCCCCATGGACGGGTTTCTGGCACCCGCGACGACCACGCTGCAGGAGGCCGCAGGCTCCAACATGGCCGACTCACCGGCCCGCTCCAGGGCGACGGAGGGTGGCGAAACAACGCTGGCGGACATAAGTGCTGATCTGAAGGCACTTGCCACGAATATGGTCACCAAGGAAGACCTCCGCAGCCTCTCTGACACCCTCCATGCCGCCATCCGCACAGAGGTAACCGCGCTGCGGTCAGAAATGACGGCGCATGCTTGCAGGCTACAGCACTTAGAATCTGCCACACAGTCCCACACAGCCCAAGCTGAAGCCTCTACCCTAGCTATCTCCAGACAGGGGAACATGCTGCTGGCCCTCAGACGCCACACGGAGGATCTAGATAACAGAGGCCGCAGGTCCAATATTAGGGTACGCGGCCTGCCAGAGCCAGATGGCGAGGAAGACGTGGAGGCTACGCTGCGCGCATTTTTCAGAGGTTTACTGGGCGCTGAAGCCCCAGCCACAATAGAGTTTGACAGAGCGCATAGAGCAAATCGGTTGCGCACTAATGAGAGGACGCCACGAGATATTATATGCTGCATGCATCAGTACAAATTGAAGGAAAAGATCATGGCCAGAGCGAGATCCAGACCAACGTGGAGATTCCATGACGCAGATGTCGCCCTCTACCAGGACCTCTCGCCTCTAACCCTGGAGGCACGCAGAGCACTGAGGCCGATCACGACACAGCTCCAAGAGAGGGGTATCCACTACAAATGGGGCTACCCCTTCGCCCTGTTAGCCAGACACCAAAATGAATGGGTCCCCTTACGCTGGCCGGAGGAAGCGCCCAGATTCCTGCAACGCCTAGGACTACCACCCACGGAAATCACCAACTGGGTCTTCGGGCCTCCAGATCAGAGGACAGGCCCACAGACACCGAGACAATTGGGCCGACGCAGAGATGGCACTCCACGGCGCCCTACAGCTCGCAGACAGCTAGCGCCCACCGAACCAGAAGAGTGAAAGCAGGCGGCTGGATGGCTGCCCCTCCCGGTGTCCGCTGACCTGGCCCTCTGGACGCGGCCACACAGGGAACCCAAAGGAGGAATCCAGAAACCCTCGACCGCCTGAAGACACCTGACCCCAGATAAGTTTCGCACCTCACGCACTTACAGACATTGACCCTAGCACACGCACTAAATACCCCACCTACAGGGAGACACTTAGAAGAGACACGAGCCTTAGTCCCCTGACACATGGCCGCTGAGGTACCCTCTTGAGAAAAGCAAGACATCAGAGAGGGTCACACTGACGGAGTTGCAGGGGCCTGCCTGCACCGCCGTCAGGGGGCCCTTTTGGAGATCGGGGACATTAACACTAACTGGCCGATGGCCTTGGCTGACAGGTTGAAAGGCCATCAGGCTTACTGAGAGATGTGGGTGGGAACCCCTGGAGCAATTGCTGCGCACATGTTTGGGTGGGCACACCGGGTGGGGATGCTGAACATCATATGATTGCACTCTGGACTTCTAAATATAACACTGTGGTTTGGTTTTTGCTCTGTTGGCATGGGGGTTTGCTTGGGGGGGCTGGAGGGGGAAGGAAGAAGAAAAAAAAAAAAGTGATGTGGTTAGGTTATGCTCCGACATAGAGCCTTGGGGAAGGGAAAGCTGAGCTGAGCGGGTCTAGGGGTGGTGGGGGTGGGAGAGGGCGATGGAACTGTAACTTGAAGTATATGCAATTTGTACTGCTAATATGTTGTCACCACACGCTCTCAGAATCGCATGCAGTGGAACCACGCCCAGTGACAGTTTAGCATGGCCCACACAGTAAGCCCCGCACACCAGAGCCAGGTTGGACACACTAGATAGCTGGAATAGCTTCCCGACCGCCTAACTGGCCCCACCCCCCCTCCCCCACCAGTACACACCTACCTCGAGGGAGGAGCACACTTAACCCCTGGGTGATAGCTAACGACATCATAAGCTAACCTGACCATCGACTCCAGACGGGGCCTGACGCACACATGTAACCAGAACACACCCAGAAGTGACCTTATGATAGACTGATAGAAAAGGAATGGATACCGAAAAATATACGTGGGGATCGGATCCCAACCTTGGGCTGCCATTTCATGACTTGACTATTACCACCTCCTAACCTGTAATTCACAGGTACTAGACACGTTTATCTCCTGATATTCCACCCCCAGATAGGACCTGTGTTCTCCAATTACTGGGGGGGACAGATCCGCGGCTGTCCTACGAGACGGTGCGGACCTGATACTCGATCCAGTCACACAGGTCGCCCTCAAATTGAGGGACACAACACTTCAGGTGGGACACACGCTGGGTGGACTCCCGGATCCGCCCGGATTCGGATACCCTTGCCTTCCCTGCTCCCTCCCCAACCTCCCCTTCTCCCCTCACCCCCCTGACTGGGAAGGGAAAATAAATATAAAAAAAAAAAAAATAATAATAAAAAATAAAAAAGAGAGAGAGAGGAGGCTGCCACTACCACAATACCATCACCACACACTTAACGCCTGTACACATACGGGAGACCTCCCAGTACAATGTCCGACATGCGTGGAACACGGGTACCTCGGGGGCGTGGCGACTCGGCGTTCACAGCTGCCCCCTTCCGAGTAGTCACACAGAACTGCAGAGGCCTGAACGCTCCAGAGAAACGTGCACACCTCCTACGGGAACTGAAACAGCAGCATGTGTCAGTAGCACTACTACAGGAAACGCACCTGAGAGTGACGGACACACGGCGGCTGACAGACAGGCGCTTCCCGGATGCCTTCCACAGCACCCACCCGACGGCTCGCAAAGCGGGCGTGGCGATCCTCCTGGCCAACAGCCTCCATTTCACTCAGAGCGACATGATGGCCGATGGGTACGGCAGATACCTGTTTGTAAAAGGAGTAGTAGCCCAGAGGACATACACATTCGCATCAATATACGCTCCGAACACCAAACAGGCAAAATTCCTCCGCGCTACACTCCTCAAATTAGCCAACTTCACCGAAGGTGCCCTTATAATGGGGGGAGACTTTAATGCACCCCTGGACCCGATTCTGGATTCGTCGACAGGGCACAGCAGTATCCCGCAAACAGCCATCCGGACGATACGCAGGACTCTTCGTAACCTGCGCCTTGTGGACGCATGGAGAACCCTCCACCCAGGGGACCGTGATTACACGCATTACTCGGCTCTACATCATAGACACTCTAGAATTGACTATCTCTTCCTCCAGCAGGAAGGCCTCCACGGACTACTGGATGTGGAAATCCGCCCTACCCCATGGTCGGACCATAGCGCAGTATCCATGCTCATGGACTCGCCTCTATACAGGCCGGTCCGGTCTACCTGGCGACTGAACGAATCGCTCCTCTCCGACATAGCGATCCAAGCTCAATTAGTGGAACATCTAAATAATTACTTTACCGAAAACGACACTGACGATGTCTCTGCGTTGACCCTGTGGGAGGCTCACAAGAGCGTTCTCAGAGGACTCCTCATACGGATATCTGCGGAAAAAAAGAGGGAAGCACAACAACAAATGGCGTCACTCGCGGACCAGATAGCGACGCTGGAAACGCTGCACAAGCGGACTCAACTGGAGTCGCACTACCGCACTCTCCTGACAACCAGACGCCAACTAACGGAATTGATAGCCCGCAAGCACTACAGGACAACCCAGAGGTCCAAGGCCTTCTTTTATATACACGCCAATAAGGGGGGGAGACTCTTAGCCCACATGATACGGAACCAACAAGCCAGCGCACAGGTGAGCGCTTTACGCACGACTAGGGGCAACCTCACACAATTCCCCGGAGAGATAGCGAGCGAATTTCGCTCCTACTATGAAGACCTGTATAACATAACGCCAGGAACTCCGGACGCGGACATGACCAGAAGAACAGGGAACATCACGACTTACCTCGAGGACTTTCACCCGGACGCCCTGTCGGTGCAAGAAGCTGAAATACTTGACGCTCCGATTTCCACGGAGGAGATATTGGCGGCGATTAAAACGACGAAAAATGGGAAAACGCCGGGCCCAGACGGATTCTCGGCAGGCTACTATAAAAAATTCAGAGATATCCTTGCCCCACGCATAGCCAACGCCTTCAACCACCTTCGAGAAGGCAGTAGATTCCATCGGGAAACCCTTGCAGCCATAATCACAGTGATTCCCAAACCTGGCAAGAACACTGAAGTATGTGGCAATTATCGCCCCATTTCGTTATTAAATGTGGACGTGAAGATCCTTTCCAAAGTGCTGGCCACACGTCTGCAACAATTTCTGCCGAGGCTCGTCCACCCGGACCAGACAGGCTTTATCCCGGGGAGAGAGGCCAGGGACAGCACCTTGCGGGCGTTCTCTGTACAAAGCTTGGCTCGTAAGAGAAATTCAGAGCTACTCATGCTCTCCACGGATGCGGAAAAAGCGTTCGACCGAGTGACATGGAGCTTCATGACGGCGACGCTAGAGGCAATGGGTCTGGGGGAGGGCATTCTCACCTGGATCAAAGCACTCTACACGGAGCCGACGGCTAGAGTGCGTGTGAACGGGGCGCTTACAGACAGCTTTGAAATCCACAATGGCACCAGGCAGGGCTGCCCGCTGTCCCCCCTCCTTTTCGCCCTCACGCTAGAGCCATTCCTGGACAGGATAAGACAGACACCTGACATACAGGGGTTCAAACAGAGAGACCAGATGCATAAGGTGGCCGCCTATGCGGACGACATGCTCTTCTTCGTCGCAGAACCCATGTCCACGCTACCAGCCCTCCTAGGAGAGTTTCAGCGATACGGACATGTCTCAGGGCTTAAACTAAACCTAGCAAAGTGTGAAATACTGGCGGTGCATACCACTAGGGACACACAGGTTAGAATACAACACGAGTATCCTTTTCACTGGTGCAGAGAACAGATGCGCTACCTGGGAATATGGCTCCCCCGCAATCCGGGCGAAACTTTCACCAGGAACTACGCACCTCTCCTAAGTAATATACTGAGAGACCTGAAGAAATGGTCCTACGACTACATCTCCTGGCAGGGCCGCATTGCGGTAGTGAAGATGAACATCTTGCCCCGCCTTCTCTACAGCTTCAGCACCATCCCCTGGCATTTGCCCCCGGACTTCTTCGCCAAACTCAAGACAGCAGTGACGAAATACGTATGGAGGGAGGGGAGACCGCGGCTCCGACACGACAGATTGTGCCTGCCCAAACCATGGGGCGGCCTCGCACTACCGGACTTTCGGAAATATTTCCAAGCAACAGTGCTCCAGAGGATTCGTGAGTGGCACACGGCCCCCGCTAACAAGTTATGGGTGGGCTTAGATAGAGAAGGCACACATAAAGCACTTCACGCATACATCTGGCACCGTTCGACAGGGGTCACGAACACCCTTGATGCGGAATCCCCCATCGCGCAGACACTGAAGACCTGGTCCACCCTGAGAAGGAACGTTTATATCTCACCGCAACCAAGCCCCTTAATCCCACTGACACATAACGAGGCCTTGGGGGGAGGACTGCGAGCGGATGCGTGGCCGACACCCACCGAAGGGGAATACATACCCCTGAGCTCAGCCTTGACCAACGCCGGCCTCCGCAACCTTCAGGACTGGGCCGCCACGGAACGCCTGACGGTAATGCACCGCTTCCATTACGCACAGCTACGACACTTCTATTATAACCTACCTCACAGAGAAGCGATACATAGAGACCAGACCTGGTTTGAACACCTTTGTGAGACTTCCCCCGAAGCAGACGGAAGAGTGTCGGTCATCTACCAGCGACTGCTTACAGGGGACCTCATCAGAAACAACGCCTTCCAGAGGCAGTGGGAGGACCTGACGGACAGAACCTATACAGACGCCCAATGGGCACAAATTCTTATTCTGCAGCATAAAAGCTCGATAAGCACCAGGTACCAGGAGGTGAATTACAAGCTGCTCTCCCACTGGTACAGGACACCTGCGAGGATACATAGAGTTTTCCCAG